TTTAGGTCGTTGAGGGTTCGAAGGTGTAGCTCAAGAGCTTTGTATCTGAATCCGAGGCACGATGGGGCCATGGGCTGCAAGATCTGATCCATGGATCTGTACCCTCTTAGAAATACGGCCTGGGGGTTGCTAGAATCCATGAGGCAACTATTACTATGAACCCTGCACCCTCAACACTCCTCAAAAGTCCTGCCAAAACCCTGCATCCTAATCCCGGAATCCAGAACTCTGAAGCCCAAAACCCTAAACGCAAGCCTCGTGAACAGCCTACACCTTCAAGGACATATAAAATGTTAACATAAGGAAATCATAGTAAGGAGCCCTAAAACGGTAGGTTTTGTAGGGTCCAGGTAAGCTCCAAAATCTAAATCCAAATCTCCATACCCTCCCTGATGCTTAGTCGGGAATGGGGGAATGGATCCCCATCATGATAGTGCCTTAACCTTGTCAAAGTTGGGTAACATTTCACGTTTTCATGGGTTTTTAAACCCCAATAAGGAATAGAAATGTACATTTCAATCCTATCCCAACCATGAACTAGTTAAGGGCCCCTATAGTAGTCCCAATAACCCATTCCCCATTCCATTGTGAGAACCAGACATACCAGTAAAACACCTTGAAACCGAAACCCTAGACCCTAAACCCTGAATCCAGAACCTTGAAACCCAAAACCCTAAGCCCTAAACCCTAAACACCTAGATTCCAAAGTCTCCCCCCCCCCCCCCCCCCCCAACTGCCTTCTATTCTCCCCCAAATGCCCAGTATTAAGAACCACAAGGCTATAAGGGCTCTATTACAGCGCCATTGGGGGTCCTGGTAAATCAAGCGTCGAGACCAGTTTGCAAGTGCTAAGGCGCTCGTCGACTCGCAACCGATACTTGGATAAAGCAGGGGAAGAACAGAAAGGTTTAGGAGTTTAGGGCATGGGGGTCTAGGGTTTAGGAGCTTAGGGTTAAGGGCTTAAGAACCGAAGATTTAGAGGGCTTCTTCAGAGGCTATGTTTAAGGAGTTTTGGACGGCTTTACAAGAGTGGAAAAGGCCTTCTTGTAAGTTTTGTAGAGTTTGAACTAAGGGTAGGGGATCTTAAAAGGGGCTTGAAAGGTGCTTGAATATGGGTCGGGTCAAAGGGTTCGATGTGCAGACAGGGTCAAGGGCATAGAGGATGCTACATAGGAGTTTCCGAAAATAGGGGACCCTAAGATAGTACCCTAAATAGTAGGATCCTTATTTAAGGACCCCAAAATAAGGTACCCCTAATTTTCGGAACCCTCACGTAGGCTGAGGATGGAGCAATTTGGGATGTGTGCGTGTGTCGTCTCGGAGAGGCATGCACATCTTCATAGTCTTCAGAATCCTTGTCGGCAGCCACACAACACGGCCCTAAAGCTGTAAACTCTAAACAACCAGAAACTGTTTAGACACCTAAATTGGTCTGTAGACTGTGACACCCATCACACACCAATTCCGAGAGATTCCCATTTGTGCCCTCTTCTCGAAAAAGCATCATTCAACCAAGAAGTCGCATGATCTGATTTGAAGAGTTTCGCCGTCATTAAGGGTCATGTGAGAGTTTTTGTTGTGCATGAGCCGGTTAACATGCTTTACATGTCCATCCGGCGCAGGCAACCACATGATGGTTTGCAGTTCTCCCTAAGGGTCCATGTGCCCGTATAGTATATACTTAGTGGGTCTTGGAGGGGTTCCGATATAGGTACTTTATTGCCTAATCAGTATACACCGTATAGTATGGGCACATGGAGCCTTAGGGCCCGCGAAAGAATAGATGCGGTTTGGGAAGCTAAATCCAAAACCCTTATATAAACCCTTAACCCAGAGCGCTATCAAGACCGTTAAATGGTGAGCGGTCCCTTTCGACCTAGTTTCGATGCTTAGGCTCCTTGTGCAAAGGGCGCCATTTGAATTCTACCTGTGCGCGACCGTAACTGGATCGGGGTAGGGCCGTATCTTTTCGCATACATGTCAGCCCGGCTGTCCTTCGCAGGAGACAAACCAGATTCCCGGGTCATAGATGGAAGATATATAGGTATCCACTTGGGATAAGTGTTAATGTCCCTTGTTGTTTAAGATAGAGCCCTTATCGCGACAAGAACCGGGGACTGTTGAAATCGACACCTGGATGTTTTTAAAGCCGCTAACGATCTTCGTGCCACCACCAAGAGTAATTACACTATCCATGATCTTCCTTGCGGACTTCCTGCGTTTGCTTGGATCGGTGCAGTTGCCAACATCCTTTCTCTAGTCAGACTCTAGTCATGCACATAGATGCTGGTATTCTAACCCTTCCATTGTTGTAATCCTGGATCCCAACAGCTCTCGACCTTGAACTCCTCCCTAAACTCGAGTGCCCTAACGCCCTAAGCCTTAAACCGAAACTCCAAACGCCAGCCCCCAAAGCCAATTACGATATTCATTCTTATCGAAGCTCGTAAATCGACTCGTAGACCTTGAACCCTAGATCTCTGACTTTGAGATTTTTTAGCCTTATCCCAACCGAAACCACCAACACCCTGACTGAAATCCTGCAGCCTAAGGTAGTATAGATGTGAGAGTGTTAGGATGCGTTAGGGCCCAGGGTTTAGGGCTGCAGGTCCTATATAGTAGGTTTATTCTGAGAAGAAGCCTTAAGTAACAGACACCATACATCCTTCCAAAGTTTCAATAGTTGGAGGTTCAGGGGTAGTTATAAGCGGGTTATAAGTAAGGTAAGTATAATTATAACCCATAAGTACAACCCACATTAGGGTAAGTACCTTTAACCCCCAATCCCTACACGCTAAGCCCTCCAGAAACCCTTAAAGGAAGCCAAGTGGGTGGTTGTCAAAATTATGGTCCCTTGTTGGGTCCCCAGTACAATACGGCACCTAGTATTCAGGGGTACACAAAAAGGGGCCATCATTTTCACAACTACCCAAGTGCTGCGAGGTCACAGAGTCGTCGGACCCAGGCATATCGCAAGCGAGTGTCTTGCCAGCATGTAATTTTGGGGGGGCTTAATGGTTACTACGACTGCTGTGGGGTTCCTGATTATCATTCTAGCATAATGGTTTCAAAACTCTATTCAAATAATTAAGGTCTCTACAGCAGTTTCGAGGGCTTGAATCATTGAGGCTTAGGGTTCAGAGGCAAGGGTTCATGTGCGACCAGCATAGCTTCGATCGGCTTTTCTCAACAGGAAGGACGCGGTATTTAACTGGAGGTTCCACCGGGACCAGACGGCCACGAGATCAGGACAATTACCGACAAGCTGGTGATGGATTCCCCGGGAAGCTAGCCCCAACCACGATTCCTAAACCCCGAACCCAATCCTAAATCTGCTACGCCTCCATCCGCAACCCCTCAATCCTTAAATCCCGAAACCCTTGAACCCCTAAACCCCTTAGCTTTAACTGGGCTCTGGAGTACCATGCTTTAATACTTTTTTGGGACCTGTTACTTAAAGGGAACCAATTATGAAAAAAACAAGTTGTTTATCCCTGGTTACTTCGAAGCCCAGCTATCCTCGGAACCTGAACCCCGAGGTGTCCCTGGCAGCACGCTACTTAGCCAAGGCTCTTCCGGGGGTCGTGGCATGCGAGACTTTCTTACCGCTAGATAGCCATGGGAGAATTTTAAACTTGCGGGGCTTATATGGGAGTTTCCGAAAATGGGGACCCTAATATGGTATCCTAAATGGTAGGATCCTCATTACAAGGACCCCAAAAATTTGGTACCCCTAATTTTGACAACCACCCGTATGTTTGCTCTATCTTTGAAGCTTTGAACCTTCTTGGGGCTCGGGTATTGAATGAAAGACTTAGTAGCTGGGTGGATATACTTTACACTTTTGGGGATAATACTACCCACTATAAAACTGAAAGTGTACACTTTTTGGGGCTTATGAACTCAGCAGCTAAGAAGAGTGATTATGCGGAGGGTCCATAAACACTAGAGTTATATGTTTAGGCCCCAAAAGACCATCCCGGTATCGGATCCGGGGGGCTTATTTCGATCGAAGAGTACTTGGAGGGTCGGGGGACTTAGAAAGTAGGTAGTAAGTAGACTTATAAGTACCCTAAAAGGGACCCTAATTGAGGTTATGGTACTTAAGTCCCTAAAATAACTAGTTACTAAGTCCCCCGACCCTCCAAGTAGTACGTACTTTGGACCCTCTTGTTGTCTTCATTGTCTTCCGGTGTTTAGTCATTGTTAAGGACGAATATAGGGAAAACATACTGGCGAACCCGACAAAGGAAGGGTGGAGTGAAACTTTTATACCTACCTATGTCAGAAAGGGCAGAACGATACGGAAAACGGTAGGGTTTACACCTAGCACCAGAAAGGACAATCTGAGGGAAAATTACCAATCGCGGAGCTCGAATTACAAGGTGCGATCGGATGAAGCATTGGAATAGGTTGAGTCCTACGGTTGATGATGTAAATCCTGCATTACCTTAAAGACCCTAAACCATGGGAATAATGGTAATTTCCCTATTATGGGTAATGCAAGATTTATATGCCTAAACCCTAAAACCCTATAGATCCCTTTAAAGGAACCCCTAGGATTCATATCATCAACCGTACATAGACCAGTCGTGAGCAGAGGCCCATGAAGCACTGCACCTAAGAAAGCAACAGAAACCCTATGCCTCCATGGGTTTCTTTGAACGAGTCGATAAGGGTTATACAATGACGGCTGAAGGTTTAAGGGTCCACGTACCCAAATAAGATATGCTTTGGCCTCAATTGTACTTCCTAGAAAAATCCCTATCCCTCCAGGGACCTTATTATGGGGTCCTTAAGGGGTCTAGGGGCCCTAACTATGAGGCCCTTGGAGGGATAGGGAAAAGGTTGAACAATGCAGGGTCCCACAAAAAAATGCGGCGTGATCAGATTGAAACGTCCAGTCGAGACAGTTTGGATCCCGGACAGGGTTTCGGGTTTAGGGGTTTAGGGTTTAGGGGTGCGAGACCTGGGACGGTGTAGCATCGGCGCAACTCCTCATGCAGCTGGGCACCGCTCGCTACGGAGCGAGACGTGACCTAGTCAAATTGGACATCCGTGCTGCTCTCGACTCACTCGATCTAAATGCTGTCCTGGAATACTTGAAACGAAACCCTAAACCCGAAACCCTCAGGTGAAGCCTGGACACTGCGGCAACTTGGCCAGGACTGCGAAGTATCCATGAAGCTGGGAACCCAGAGCCTCCAAAACCCCATAATTAAGGAATATACCTTAAATTATATCAGGGATCCTACTATAATTTAAGGTATATTACTTATAATAAGGGGTTTTGGAGGCTCTGGGAACTGCATCTTGGGCAGTCCGCCTGCGACAGGGAGTGCTCCAGGGCACAGCTTACAGCGCCGTGCTGTTTGGTCGGGTTCTTTTTTTTCTCGGACCATTGGTCCGAGAATGGGAACTCAGATGGCCGAAGTGGAACCTTCCGCACCTTTTACTTATTGCGGATGACATACTTATAGCGGGGGCCCCGACTCCTGAATTTTTCCAAATGAAAGCCCAGATGCTTGTGGACCGTCTTTTGGGGTCTCCTGGTTAATACGGCGAAGTGTGCACTGCTTGAGGTGAAGGAAGACTAGTTAGGAGCCGACTTGGGCAGACGAACAAAGAAGGCCGTCAACCTAACTTTCAAAAAACCTTAATCCCTAAACCCGTTAAAGGAACCCTTGTGTAACCCTTATAAAGGGACCACTCAGGAACCCAGGAAAAGACGTCCCGTTGGGAGGCCCGGATCGAGCATAACTCAGCAGACTCCACCGGCAAATGCCGGCGCATCGTGAAGAAGGCCCGGGAAGCTGGGAGTCAATGTTCCTTTAAGGCATCTCTAGGGGTCCCGTTAAGGGCTCCATTAAGGGATTTCTAAAGTTCGTTTAAGGGTTTGAGGTTTCAGGGTTTACACGGGCGTAAGGTTCTTGAGAGTTCCCCAAAGGGTTCCTTGCAGGGTGCTTGAAGGGGCTTTGGGTTCAGGGTTCCTGTAAGGGTTCTGAATTTGTTCAACAAGGTGTTAGGGTTTATAGTAGAAGCCAGAAAGTTGGAACATGGCTTTAGGAGGATTGGTGCTAGGATCCCTTATACTCTACCTTAAGGGCATGAGGACAATGATGTTCCAACTTTCTGGCTTCTACTGTAGGGGTTTAGGGTTAAAGGTTCTTCAGGGGGTTTTGATGTGATTTAATGATTTCGGGTTGAGTGAGCTTTCGAGCCTTTAAGCCTTCAAGGCTTTGGGCTCAGGGTGTCAGACCCAAAGGGTCCTATGTACTGTTATGGGGGATACTTCCCTAAGGCATAGTACTAATTCCTAATATGGAAACCCTACATTCTACTGTATCGGTACATAGGACCCTTTGGGAGAGTGTTTTAGAAGGTTGTTGTTTGGGGTTTGGTGCTCTTAGAGTGTTTAGGATATTGAGCCGTAGATTTCCGTTTTAGCTTTAGGACTTCAGGGGCCTCGTTGGCAGCACGACGTGTTTTGCTGTTGTGGTGCGATCAGTAGGGTCTTGGTTCTGTGGGGTTGTAGTTAGTTTTCGCATCTAGGTCGTGTTAGGGTTTCGGGGGTTGGAAGATTCGAGTTCAGGTTTTGGGGTTTGAGTGTTGGGGTGTACCTTAAATTGTAAATTGTAAACCCTAAACCCTAGATTTTAGGGAGAGTTTCGGGTTTCAGAAGGAGGGCGAAGCCAAGAGACTAAACCTTGCTAGGTCGCACGGAGAAGAGACTTCCAATCCCTGAAGCAAGCTGTGCACCATGGATTTGCTAAGCCTATATGCCCTGAAGACCCGAAACCCTAAACACCCCTAAACCCTAAACTCACAAGGAGAAAAAAGTCGGCAGTATGGCCAGAAACTATAGATTTGCTCATTGAGCGGGATTTGCAGTCTCTGGGCAAGCCGAAGCACAACAATGAGAGGGAGACCGAAGCACAACAAGGAGAGGGAGATCCAGCACACGGAGGAGCTGGAGGACTCGATGCGGAGCCCAGACACGCGGCCTTGCCCGGCAGCCAGTGATGATCCAAGTTCAGCGTGCAGAGCTTCTTCGAGGGCAAAGGCTCCAAAGGTACTCGGCCACCAACGCGACTAGGCCAGGGCCGCAGCATGTTCAGACAGCAGTGAGTGCAGGGTGCTGCCTCACCACGAATCATAACAGCTCGGGTGATGAAGTGCTCGTACATGAACTACACGACGCAGAAGAACTTTTACATACATACCAAGGGATGTTGCACATCAGGAGCTCCTTGAAGGCCGTCATCAGGACGATGTTGTAGAAGGACGTAATGGAGATGGAGAGCTCCTTCAACATCAGACATGATGTCGGACATGCAATCGAGGCAAACTCGGTAGAGGAGGTGGGGAAGATCTCAAGGGTCTTGTTCATACCCACAGGATTATGGACTTATGTAGGAGCTCTGGCTATAAATATGGCAACTCTACTTTTACATAATCAGTCATACAACTTATTGCCGACTTATATCCGTAAGTCCCCATACGCCCTTTCTAGACCACTTGTAGATCCCCTTAAGGAACGCTTTAGGGAACCTCACTTACTAAGTCCCCTGATCCTTGATTTGAAGTTGAGCTTGACTTGGCGTTCTTCTGGCTGAGGTCAGAGGTCTAGGGCCTGGTTCGGAGAATTCTAGCTTGTTGGGTGTGTATATGACCTGTATCAAGGCTAAAAGTCTAAGTTGCAGCAGGGGTTCATCGGGGTTTGGGGTGTGGGTCCCAACTTATAAACCTGTATATAATATACGTAGAAACAATCATGAGTTTACTAAGTGTTGGTCTGTTACAGTTGTAAGTTGCGTCCTGTTGGGTTTTATGATTTCGTGGTTTTTGTTTGTCACGTGTCGGTATTGGGGTCTTTCGGGGCCGTCTGCTGGAACTGCCATGGCTTGGTGTTTCGGGTCTGGGGCGTTAAGATCATGAGTCGTGGGTCAGGGGCTCTTTTCAGGTCTTCGTCGACATGCACTAAAGCTTCTCCTGTCAAGTTTGTAACATGCCTAGAAACGCGTAAAGCCTAAACCACAGGCCCTCTCGCAAAAGAACTCACAAAACCGAAACTTCCCCGACACCTTGAAGAGTCCCAAAGTTGCTCTGACACCCACAACAATCAGAACTTGCAAATTGCTGGGACCACGGTGCCCTAAACCCGCATGCGTGAAGCCTTACAACACAAATCCTTTCTGCACCTTTAGCATCTTTCCATGGCGCCCTAAACCCTCATCCGTAATGCCCTAAAGCTACGAGCCCTAAACCCTTAAAGTCGCTAAGCCTATTTCAACCCTAAACATCCTTGAATCCTACCTTAACCCTGAATAACCTACCTTTTTCGGGTTCTCGATCATGATTTGCTTATATATAGTTTTTAAACGGTAGGTTCGTCAGGGTGAAGGTAAGCCCTAAACCCCAAGCACCAGATTACCACGGCGACCTGGTTCTCCTACGCCATTATGTCCGTCATCTTGCTCCTCGGCGTTGCCTCACAGTAAGGCTCAAGGTACCTCTAAGGGTGCCTTAAAGGCTCTAGACGGTTTAGCTTTTAGGCCCATGTACCAATGTTATCGTATACCTTCAAGGGTGCTTTAGGGTTCCATAAGTGTTCCTTTAACGGTACCATAAGCTAGTTTCGTGAGTGGTTACTCAGGAATTTAGTAGGGGTTCTATTAGTCCTATAATGAAAGGTTTTTCTCAGGGTTTGGGGTTTCAGGCTCCATGTACCCATATAGTATATACTTAGGCCTAAATGGGTTCCTTTTATGGGTACTTGAAGGTCTATGTATATACTATATAGCCTATAGGTACATGGAGCCTCGCTAGACCCTAAACCGTGGCACTTTCGCTGCTACTACTACTACTACTACTACTGCTACTACTACTGCTACTGCTACTACTACTACTACTACTACTACTACTACTACTACTGCTGATACCCTGAGCTCGAGCCTAGATTTAAGCCCTAAGCGGTTTAGGGCGCCTTTTTGATTCCTCAGCTGTGGAGTCTTTCGCTGGCTTAGGGTAAAGGATGAGGTTTACTTAAGGCCGAGGCCGCAGCCCCAAACATCCCTAAACCCTGGTCATAGGAGGCCAAACGGGGTTTTAGCCTATGGGGGTTTAGTAGGGATTAGGGTTCCCAGAATAGGGTTCATGTTAAGGAATCCCTACCCCAAGACTTTTAAACCCCCCTTTTTGGCCTCCCATCAACCCCAAAACTTGAGCTTATGGTATTCGGAACCTTCCAAAATGCCCGGACACTCGTCCAAGTCCTTTGGGTTTTGGGCATTCACTGCCTTCGAGTTTAGGTGTTAGGGTTGAGGCTGTATTTCATACGCATCTTAAGTTGAGGTTTGTAAGTTTTAGAATTTAGGATCATCACCGAAACCTTGTTTGCTGGTAAAGTTCCACATGCTGTTATGCTGAGCTCTCGTAGTTAAACTTACCCAGAGTGTGCATATGTTCCACAATCAAGTACTTTTGCTTCAAAAGACCATGCCTGGTATAGTTTAGGGTTTTTGACCTTGAGGTTATTGTATTCGTTGCCTTATCAATCTAAACCCCCTAGCGCCCAACCCCCTAAACCCTTACACCCTAAAGCCCACCAAACGTACCAAACCCTAAAAATTCCATTTCCGACCACAAGGCCCTGAAAACCTTGCCAAATCCTGACAAAAGCCTTTTTGGGACCTTTATATAGAACCCTCACTCAGTAGCTGAGTAGGTAACCTTTATATACCCGTTTCGAACCTTAGCGTCGATTGCAAGGTTCAACCTTATTTTCCTGGGCATCGAAGTTAGCGTAACCACGCAGATGGGCACCAACGACATCCCAGCGGCACGGCAGCTATTCGCGGGTTCGCTGAAGGTTTGGATGTTTTGGCGGTTTGGGGTTATATACCACTTAGGGACAATCTACACCCTACAAGAATAAGGCTTCTGATTTTGGGCTTAAAATTATACCTAAACCCGCAACCCTGAACCCTAAACCCTAAGAAACTGTAGGGTCTGTATTGGGGCGCTGTAAATGGTTCCCTTTCCCCGAGGGTCCACATACACTACCATTATGGAATTAGGCCCTAAAGGACCATCCCCATTATGGTTTTTGGGACCTAACTCCATAATAGTACGGTTGATGATATAAATCCTGCATTACCTTAAGGGCCCTAAACTATGGGAATTATGGTATATTCCTTATTATGGGTAATGCAGGACTTATATCATCAACCGTATTACCCAAAGGGTTCTATGTACTCTTATGGGGGATACTTCCCTAAGTCATAGTAGTAATAGTATGGAAACCCTACAGTCTAGTATATGAATATGGGTACATGGGACCCTTTGGGATTATGATTCAGGGTTCACCACTAGTTGGCTACTCCTGTTAGGTCGTCAAACCCTGAAGCCGCAACTGACTTTGTAGCTGAATGGGTACACCTCACATATAAAATGCGATCATCCCTTATAAGAAATCAAAGTGTGCAGTTTTTGGAGCTGATGAACTCAGCCATCGAATACAAACCCTGAACCCTAAAGGCACCCTTAAAGGAACCCGTAACGAACGGTAAAGAATGCTTAAACGCATGAACTCAGCAACTGAAAATTCACCGACCCCAGCATTAGGATGAAGAGGAAAGGCACCCTCAGGGTGTCTAAGACGCTCTACTTGAAAGGGTCATGGGACTTAGTAACTAGGGTCCCTTAAAGGGTTACTATAATGGTTACTACATGGGTGTCAACACGGCGCATTCTCGGGTTACTGAAAGATTCGTGGGACTTACAACCTTGCTGAGTCCCATGAACCTCCAAGTATGCATGCCGAGACCTGTACCTTAAACTCTAAACCCTAGAGCCCCGTTCACCTAAACCCCTCTTCGCAGCCTTACACCCCAAACCCTTAAAGCGTTCGGAGCCTTAGGGTAGAACCGGGTAGAACAGGCACCAAAAGAGCTTCCGCCCAGGTCGTGTTTGCAATCGTCAACGCGACGGTGGTTCTCATTTTCATGGTGGAGGTCGTCAGGGGTTTTACCGTTTAGGGGTTTAGGGTCTAGGGTTTAGGGTTTAGGGGTTTAGGGTTTAGGGGTTTAGGGTTTAGGGTCTAATTAGGGTTTAGGGTTTAGGGGTGTAGGATTTAGGGGTTTAGGGTCCAGGGTTTAGGGGTTCAGGGTTTAGGACCCCCGAAGCGCCCTGACAGAAACCCTTTTTGGAGCCTTGTTCCAACCTCTACGGCCGCATCGGTGCAGGAGTGCGGCCAGCCAAAATCCCAGCTGTTTCTCAGTTGAGCTTAGCCAGTGTGGCCTCCTAAACCCTAACTTAGGGGTACTTAGAAATAGTTTTTAAAAATTTGGTTATTGCAATCCCTAAGAAACAGCTAAAATCAGAATTTGTGCTCGGGTTCTAAGTTCAGTATGGTAAACCCTAGTAAACCAACAAGGAGTCGTCTTTGCCGTCTGAACGAAAAATTGAAACCTCTGCAGAAGAAACGACCCTCCTGGTGTTGACGCTTTCGCCGATTCCAAGAAGATGTTGAACGAGCCATCCCAGGCGTTTTGACATCGAGAGCATTCCGCGAGATAAACCAGTGTAGAAGCTCCAGCAGCGACGCATGCCCTGTTAATCAATGCCAATGCCGAAGAAGCGACCGATATGACAGCCACACATACTTCGAGGCTCATGGGACATAGAAAGTAAGGTTATAAGTACCTTAATTGGGGTTTTTAATCCCAATTATACGTAGTTATAAGTATGGCTACCCTAATTATAACCCTATAGTTATACTAAGTCCCATGATCCTTTAAGTAGCCTTGACACCTATGCCGAAGAAGATACCCCGGGCTGCAAAAGAAGATCTCAAAGCGATGCCCTGCCGTGAAGCTGTCGGCAAGATAGTCAGGCACGTCGGTACATGCAAGCATATCCTGGATGGGTCTGGTACCTTAGCAACCTGCAAGAAGCTGCGAAAAAACGATCTGTTGTCTTTGGTGGTGGGCAGAACGTCAGTTCAAGCCTCTGCCAAATCATTTGCAGCAATTCTGAGCGGTACTGTACCCGAACGTCTTGCAGCACATCGTCGCGAGGCACATAGTTGTCGGCAGGTTCCCCTAAAGCCTAAACCCCAGACCCCACGCTTGCTATTGTATAGGGTTTGGTGACCCAGAGGGTCCATATGCACTACCATTATGGAATTAGGCCCCTCAAAATTAAAACCCAAAAACATGGTCTTCGGCGCCTAATTCCTTCATGGTTGTATGTAAGATGGACCGTCTTGATGTAAACCCCAGACCCTTAATCCCTTACCTAGACCCTCCAAAGTAGGTAAAATGATGGCCCAGCACCTATACAAAGGCCAGTATTCTACGTACTTGTGGGGTCCAGATATGGACCTTAAAGTAACCCTCTACACATATGGAACCTCTGGGTAATCATTTCGTGTCCGGTTTGCTGGGCTGGAGCCTGAGGGCTGGCTGGCGTCTTCTAACGTTGCGTTTTCGAACCGAGCCGCAAATTGCAGAGGTCTGGATATTTAGATGAAAAAGCATTCCTATAGTCTCTTCACCTCACGAATTTTGTATTTTTGTTCATATGCCACTCAAGAGAATATTAAGACTATTATTCTCGTTATGGGTTTAAGGAGGGTATAGATTCTGCAAGCCCGATAGGATTTCTTATTGAGCAGGCAGACCCCAAAACCCCGCCATGATGCTATAGCCAAGAGGGTCCATATACACTACTAGTATGGAATCATGGCCCAAAACCATAATGGGGATTGTCTTTGGGGACCTAATTCCATAATGATAGTATATATGGACCCTCTGGGTAGTGGGCCCGACAAAAGCGACGGTCGAACCCCAGTCGGCTGCGGTAGCTTAGGGAGTGAACGGGGGAACTTGAAACTTTTTGCCGTTATATCCCAAAGGGTCCAAAGTACCTGCAGGGTTTCCATATTAGGAATTGCTATTATGATTTGGGGAAGTATCCCCCATAACAGTACAAAGGACCCTTTGGGTATATCAGCTCGGTCTTAGAAAGTTTGGAACTTGTCGGGGCCGGGTTCTTGAAGAGGAGAGGTAGCTTAAGGTGAAGTTAGACCCACGAAACGAAGCCACACAAGCCCAACACATACTTGTAACGCCTGTTGAGAGCCATAAAGCTTTCTGAGTCATTCTAGAACCTCAGCCTTCAGGGTTTACGGCTAACTAAGGTTTTAAACAAGGTAAGTAACTATATCAATATCTATAGTTTCTTCTAACCCAATTACGGGACTTATATTTCCACTTATAACTACCCATGAACCCGAAACCCGACACTCTAAACCGATGAACCCCCGAGTAGTGCTTACAGTAGAAGCCCAAAAGTTGGAAACCCAACAGCCTCTATCCTTAAGAGTCATGTATGAGGGATCCCAGCACTAGTTGTCCTTAATCCGGTTTCCAACCTTTTGGGGTTTAATGTAGAAAACTCACACCATATAACTACCCATGAACCCTAAACCCTAAGCCCTACACTCTCAAGAAGCCCTTAAAGTAACCCTTACAGGAACCCATGAATCTCCAAGTAGGGTCTAGGTTGGGTACTGCCCCCACTCAGTAACAGTTGGATAGTATTCATGATATAGATATATTAAGGTTCATAGTACCCTTGTTATAGACTGTTACTGATACTGTATGGGGGCAGTACCCAAGGTCTAGGAAACTCGCCATCCTCCGGAGGTCTGCATGAACTTTGTGGCGTTTGGATGTGCCGAGTTCTGCTTGGGCGCCTCGGCTATTTTCACGAGGCGCTGAGGGGGTTTAGGGTTGGGGGTTTAGGGCTTAGAGTACTGTGACGAGGCCTAGGATCTCCAGTAGTAGCCTTATTCCCTTTTTGTAGTCCCAGGTTCCTTATAAAGTTACCCAATACCAAAAAGAGAGGCCTTTTTATTCTTAGGTTACTGGGTATCCCAGATGCCCGTTTAGGCTTCGAAAGGGCTTCTGAAGGGCTTCGAGTTTTTTCTGTTGCGAGGGTTCTTGTGGAATGCTATGAGGGTACGGGTTTAGGGATAGGGTTTTGTTGTTTAGGGTTTTTGGGGAAGTGAGTTTGGGGTTTGGGAGCTAGACCTACTTAGAGGGTCGGGGGACTATAGTATTTGGTTATTTTAGGCACTCATAAGTACCATAACCCCAATTAGGGTCCCTTTTAGGGTACCTACAAGTCTACTTACTACCTACTTACTAAGTCCCCCGACCCTCCAAGTTGCATTCAGCTGAGGTTTTCGAGGCTTCGAGTCTGTAGAGGCTTGACTGTTCTTGGAAGGGCAGGGGGCTTAGTAAGTAGGTTATAAGTAGGGTTATAATTGGGGGTAGCTCCATTTAGGGTACTTATAACTCTACTTATAACCTACTTACTAAGTCCCCTGCCCTTCCAAGCTAGCAGTACTGTGAACTCCTTAGAGTTCCCCAGCATGCTTAGTGCAGGGCTTCCCAGGCCCTAATCCGCCTTGTCCCTAAACCCGAAACCCTCAGTGCGCTTACAAAGCTAAACCTCTTATATTAGCCTTCAACCTTAAGACTTAAACCTTCCATGTACAAAAGCTGAGCCCTAAACCTTAAGCCCGAAGGCCTCGTTGCACTTAAAACAGCTAGAACCCTAGGCCTTGTATGACTTACGTTCTTATTACAACATACCATAAATAGTAGCATACCCCACAATGAACACCTCTAGCATAGAGACCTGCAGCAAAAAGCGTGAAGAAAGGTGTCATGAGGATGCTACAGGAACGGAGAACTACTAGGATGCCCAGTAGTACCCTTATTCCCTGTTTGTAGTCCTAGGTTCCTTATAAAGTTACCCAATGCCAAAAAGAGAGGCCTTTTTATTCTTAGGTTACTGGGTATCTTAGTCGTTGGGGGTTTCCAGTTTGAGCGTCAGGGCGCAGGGCTTTGGTGTTAGGGCCTGTTAGGGTTTCAGGTTGAGGGTTTAGGGTTTAGGGTTTAGGGTTTAGGGTTTAGGGTTTAGGGTTTAGGGTTTAGGGTTTAGGGTTTAGGGTTTAGGGTTAATTAATTAGGTGTTCAAATGTTTGAGTTTGAGGGTCGAGGGTTGGATATCTTGATGCACCTGAACCCTCAGTTTTCGACCGCAGTTCCTGCACGCCTGAGGAAAGGACCGTGGTTGGAATCTCTTCGACGTCGTGGTGATCTCGATGCCACTTGCTTAGGTGTGAGATGGCATGAAGGCTTCCGCCACCGCGTCCTTGGAGGATCATGGGACTTAGTAAGTAAGGTTATGAGTACCTTAATTTGGGGTGATAAGTAGTTATACTGCTGATGGACGAAATCCTGCATGACCCTAAGGACTCCAAACTATGGGAACTATGGTATATTCCTTCTAATGGGTAATGCAGGAATTGGTCCATCAGCAGTAACTCTAGTTACCCCAATTATAACCCTAGTTACTAAGTCCCATGATCCTTTAAGTGCCCCTAGACCCCCCCATATAGACACCTTACAGATCCCTTTTAAGGAGCCCCTTTAAGGAGCCCTAGTTACTAAGTCCCATGACCCTTCAAGTAATGTAGGATTCGGAGTCAGCCGGCCCAGTCGAAGGCAAGAGGTTCGGATCCGGGAGCAAAAAACATAGGCGCCCAAATAGCTACCCTATACAAGTTTGGGGGTTCCTTATTATAAGCATAGTATCCCAGAGAGCCCAATACCCCTTAATTAAGGAATATGGCTTAAATTATAAGGGGGTTCATATTATGATTTAAGCCATATTCCTTAATTAAGGGGTATTGGGCTCTCTGGGATACTGGACCCCGAAACCCTATGCCAATTATTAAGGGCCCTGTATTACTTTCTAAGTCCCATGATCCTCCAAGAAGGCTTTACAGTTCGAAGCGGCGCCTCCATTTGGGTGGTTGTCAAAATTATGGTCCCGTTTTGGGTCCCTAATATAGTACGGCACCTAATATTTAGGGTAGCCCAACAGGGACCATAATTTTGACAACCACCCATTTACGTGCAAAACGAAACCTCCAAGCCCAAGACAGCGAAGCCTCCATGCCTGGAGCGTTAAGCTTTACAGCCGAAAACCTCAAAACATCAAGCCCTCAGATCTACAGCCCTAATTCCCAAAGTCACAAGCGCTTAAGTCTCAAACTATCTTGAACTGTAAAGCCTGCCTAACCTAAACTCTAAACCCTAAGCCCATCTCCCTCGAATCCGAAGCCTGACGCCGTCGACACCTGGAACGCAACACTAACCCAGACGGTCCATATACACTACAATTATGGAGTTAGGTCCCCCAAACCATAATGGGCATGGTCTTTTAGGGCCTAATTCCATAATATTAGTGTACATGGACCCTCTGGGTAAGTTCCTCGCCCCATGATCTTCTCTACTGCCTTGTTCGTGGGTTTCACAGCATTTCCCCAGGGCTCCAGCTGCCTAAATAGCAGGTTACTAGCCATATATTATGAACCCCAGTGACCTACTATTTAGGGAACTGGAGCCCTAACTCCACCATACAGTAAGAGTCTATGACAGGGCTACTATTAAGGTCCTCATATATGTATATCATGCATAATATTCAACTATTACTGAGTGGGGGCCGTACCCAATCCTAGGGCTCCTTATGAGCATTTTGAACTCTCGGGGTTTTTGTACTCGTTTTCAGCAGAAGCCCTGAACCCCAACTCTGGTTCAAGAGTAGCCTAGTAGTAGAGTAGGTAACCTTTAACCTTTTTTTGGCTTACCCTTAAGGGGCTCCTTTAAGGGATCTAATTGGGGTTTCTATAAGGAGCTCTGAGTAGTAGGGTAGGTAATGCCTGCTTCCCACAACACTTCTGAGCTTAATTCGCAACTTGGCGAAGCTCGTCTCACGCGCTGGGGACGCAGCTTTTTCCACGTCGCGCTTTAACAACCGTTTTTGGGCCTAGGGTACCCTTAAGGGGCTCCTTTAAGGGATCGAATCGGGGGTTCGATAAGGGGGTCTTAGTAGTAGAGTAGGTCACCTTTAACCTTTTTTTGGGTAGTATAGTCCCTGTATAATCCCTATATAACCAGAAACGTTAACCTTGAGTTCCCCATGATAGCCGACAAGTAGGGCAATTAACCTCAAGAGCGGACCCTTTGGAGGAATACGAAAGAGACCCCTCCTGGTGTGGTGTGTTGAAGAGGGCTTTTTGGGTTTAGAGTTTTCAGTATACTAAGCTGAGTACGGTTTCGGGATTCATTTCGTAGAGCTGCATAATGATTTTGAGGGAGATACGCGGATGCCTACATCAGCATTAGGGCCGTCTATGCTGCTTCACTCTTTTGAGCCCTTAAGCTTAGCAGCTTAGATGACTGTTCGCGGTTTTGGTTCAGGGTGGTTTGACTACTTCGGTGGTTTTTGGTTTCTCATTCAGCAGATTTCCAGAAGACCTGGGTCGCATCCCTTGCAAACCCGGACAAACACCCAAGGGACATCTGTGGAAGTTTCAGATTCTCAGGTCCACCTTGGAGATCGCCTATGATCTCTACAGCCAGGCCTCCCTTGCTCATTTGTTGTTTTCGTAGATGGGAGTTTCCGAAAATTGGGGGTACCTTATCTTGGGGTCCTTATAACAAGGCTACTATTAAGGGTAGTATATTAGGGTCCGCTATGAGATGGGTTTGCAGGGCATTCATGCAGGGTTCTATACGATGATCTGCGCTTTCAGGTTTCCATGATGCTGCGTTGAGGGTCCTGTAGAACCCCTAAACCCTAAACCCTACACCCTAAACCCTAAACCCTAAACCCTAAACCCTAAACCCTAAACCCTAAAACCCTAAACCGGAACTGTTGACAGGATTTTCAGGCCATGCTTTCAAGCTTACCCTGATGCCACGAGAACTCTTAAACCCTAAGGCCCACCCAAACCCGTAAGCCCTATAAAGCCAAGTCCCTTGAAGCTAAGTCCTCGAACCCTAAGCTCCCCCTGAGGGTCCATGTGCCCAAATGGTAACAATTTTGGGGCTTAATGTACTTAATGAAATAGGGACTACTTTAAGGCCGAAGTATATGGTATATATTGGCCAGGAATGCGGGAGAATGTATGTCTGATATATTTGTGGTTGCTACTTGCAAGGAGAAGAGTTCGCAATAGAAACACTGGGTTGGCCCTATCAACACCGGTGGCACACGAAAGGGCACCGACACGAGCAACAAACATGCAGATCCATTGGTGGGGGGGGGGGTGTTCTTGACATTGGCAGGGAGGTGCTGGCTTCATTCCGCCATTCCTGACCCCACCGGGGAGGATCCCCTGTTCCCTGACGAAAAAGCCGTCCCCATGGACATTGGCTGGGATGCGGCGAGAGCAGCTCTTGCAGCTCTTGACCAACAGAGCCGTGACTTAAGCTCTTGGATCGTTGCTCAAGAGGCACTCCTGGAGCCTCCGCCCCCGCGCAGCTCCTTCACTTCGCTCTGTTGGAGAGCTTTGACTCGCGGCTCCTCGACCCGAGAATCGCCGACTTGCTTCTTCACCTTGCAAAGGATCCTGGTAGTAGAGTAGGCAACCTTTAACCTTTTTTGGGTAGTATTTAGTCCCTATATAACCCCTACATAACCAAAAAGGGTTAACCTTGAGTTCCCCATGATTCCCGACAAGTAGGGCAATTAGCCTCAAGAGCGGACTAAACCCTACACCCTAAACCCCTAAACCCTAAACCTAACCTTCAGTTCCCCATGATACCCGGCAAGTAGGAAGTTGAGGGCTACTTGCAAGCCAAGCGAAAGCTTGGGAATGCTCGGGCTCCCGATCCGCCTCGTGTTGATGATGGCAGCCTTGTCCTGTTTCATGGTTCCCCCAAAAGAATAAGGTTCCCTTTAAGGGCTCCTTTAAGGGGGTCTCTATAAGGGTACTTTAATGTAATGCTTCCCCCAAAAGAATAAACAGACCGGCTAGTAGACCTTCTTAAAAAGTTCCTACTAAGGGATATAGGTATAGGGCTCTGTCTATTGTTTTTAAAAGGACAAGGGTGGATGATGGCCTTCCCAAGCAGGGAGATGTTCGTCTTTGTAAAGCCTCCAGCCCGACCACCCCTAAACCCTAAACTCTTACAGCCTTATTCTCCACCACCCCTGAGCCCTGCAAGGCTTAACGCCTAAAGCAGATACTTCGAAGGTTTGAAAACCACTAGCAACAGAGGCCGACAAACCCCAGCCCGAGTCCCAAGACATTTCGCATCCCCAAACAGGCGACTGACACTTCCTCAGTTTCGCAATCCGGGGGACAGGCCAGGGTCAGGAGCAGAGAGACTTTTGGGGTCTAGGCTTTGGGGGTTTAGGGCTTCAGGTTTGTTACCCAGAGGCTCCTCATATACTACCATTATGGTCTTAGGTCCCAAAAAGCCATCCTTATTATGGTTTTAGGGACCTCATCCATAATGGTAGTATATGAGGAGCCTCTAGATTAGACATTGATTGAGGGTGTAAGGTTTGGGTTAAGGGTCGGTCTCCGTGGCAGGGCTTCCTGCGTGTTTTGCGAGAGAAGAAGTAACTTTCACCCCTTTAAGTTTAGTCTAACCTAAACCCCCACAAAGTAAGTAAAATACTGGCCCAGTACTTATTATCAAAGGCTATTATTCTACATACTTTTGGGTCCAGGAAGGCCCCATAGTAGTTCCTTTTTGTGGTTCATATTTAGAACCTTATGAAAACCCAAAAGGAAGCTAGTATGGGGCCTCTGGGTAGTCCGTGTATCCTCTGATGGGCTCAAGCTGCTGTTCTTCGGGTCACTGGACAAGCAGGGTTTATGAAGTTTGGCACAGTTTCCATTGCTTTGATCATGAGTGTCTGAGATGCCTGAACCCATCCATCTAACCCTTAACTGAACTTCCCTGATGCAAACCCCAAAGCCCCCATGCCCTCTACCAATACCATGTGGCATTTGTAGATCTTGGGCCTTCTGGCCGTAAAGTTTAGGGTGATTTATAGCGACCCCCCTAAGGGGATATACCAAATCGAGTTTCCCAGGAGACAAGCAGCTGCGATAGCAAGGCCTAGCAGGCACTACTGCTGATGGACAAAATCCTGCATTACCCATTACAAGGAATATACCATAGTTCCCATAGTTTAGAGTCCTTAGGGTCATGCAGGATTTTGTCCATCAACAGTAGCAAGCCCTAGCAAAAGCTAGTAGGCATTTGTAGTTTGTTTCGTTGTTGAGCAGTTTCGAGCCCTACTAAGCCTTAATAGGGCCTGGAAGGTGCAATCGAGGCACACCGTGAGGTTGTGAGCAGTAGGAGGGGCAGCAAAAGTACAGGCGGCCACTTGACCCCAATGGAGGCCCTGCATGAGCCTGGTGCTTTCCAGCACGATCCTTGCAGGAGATTTGAACTCTGAAAGAGTTGTGCCTTCATTGACGAGCAGGACCATCTCCACAAGGGGTAAGACGAGCCGCCCGATCTCATCCAAGCACATGGGATGCTCGTTTCCAACTCGCAGGGAGTCTTAACTACAACTTATTACGTCGTAGAAAACCGCGTGTCTGTGTAAGGAACTACTGCTATGACAGGTATAAGTATCCCCCCATATATAGGAAGGATCCCTAGGAAGTAGAGCAGGTGCTCTTCATGCGGTCGCTGCGTCTGGCGCGAGCGATGCGCGGCATCCGGGTGATGCGGCTCCTGCGCTATGCAACTTGGACCTGAAATGTCTTGGAGCTTGGAGGATCATGGGAAGTAGAACTGGGTAGTGCTTTGGAACATTTTTGATTTGCTCTTGTAGGGCTTAAGAGGATCTTACCTACTAATATTTGTCAAAGGCTTTAAAAGCGCCTCCTAGAGAATGTAAGGTTATAAGTTATGGCTCCTTAAAGGGATCCTTCTAGGATTCTATACGGGATCTATCAGGGTTTAGGGTTGTAAGGATCATGGGACGTAGTATAACTTAGGTTGTAAGTACCCCTTCGGGGTTATAGGCCATTCTAAGTATTGTTGCCTTTTCTTCCATATCCCTCTAGTTACTACGTCCCATGATCCGTTAAGAGATGTTGCATCCAAGCTGAACGGTTGCTTAATGGTAAAGGTTGTGCATGGTTTGTGGTGTTCACTTCGGCTGCTTTGCAACTTGTTACACACCGCGTGTATAAGGACTTTTGCGGGGTGTAGTGGGTACTTCTAAGGAGTCCGTGAACAATAGGAATGCCCTTTTAGCTTCACAGCCTTACAGATTGATGTGGCTTTACTAATAGGGTCCTGGGCTTCGAAGTTTGTGTGTGCCCGTACGGACTGGCCTTACTGGCTGTATAACTATGTTTCTCAACTTTTGGGGTTCTTACAAGGTAGTCGGTTCAGAAAGTTTCAACTTTTATTCCTTTAGGTTTTGGGCCAGTGAGTTGCAGTGCTTCAAGGGTTGCTCTCATTACAGAAGCAGTCTTTCTAGCTTGAACCCAGCGCCTGCGTTCAGTTCTTCCAGTATAGGTCCACATATTAATTGTAGGTGTCGCATTCTGTTATAATGCCCCAGAGCCCCTCCAGCTCCTGATCCCTAAATCCTAGGAACAGATGTGGGAGTTTCCGAAAATTAGGGGTACCTTATTCTGGGGTCCTTATTATATAAGGATCCTATTATTTAGGGTATCATATTGGGATCCCCTATTTTCGGAAACTCCCATGTGTAGGTTCGAATCAGTTTTTCTCATACGTGGGATCTAGCAACGCTAGGTTATTGGAGCTGCAGGTAGACTCTAAACCCTAATTACAAACTTGAGCCCAAACTCCTGAACTTCACCGCCAAACCCTCAATCTTAGCTCCTAAAGCCCTTACCCTTCTTATCATTCTCAACACCCATTTCGAAACCCTTCGTGGCCCTCCTCAGAAGACGCAGAAAGCACTCCGTGACCTTCTGCTTACGGCTTCGGATTTAGGATTTACGGTCAAATCCCCCCGCTGTAAAGAAATGTAATTATAACAAGTTTTCAGCAAAAAACCATGGGTTTCTTAAGGTGCAGGTGAGTAGTTAGAGCTTCTACGGTAGCAGACTTCCTGGATTGAGCTTAGGTGTAAAACGAAAGCCACCTACTCACAAAGGAACGAAGACTTTTGAGCGTTCCCTATGTTAAGCGCTAAACTGTACATTAATGAAGGGATTGAGGTTTTTGTTGTTGTTTCTCATCCTACAGACTGAAAGGATCCTTCTTCGGTCCTTTAGGGTTTGGGGAATCTGCAGAGGCTTTCGTGGTAGTTTGGTCTTCTGGGTTTACGCACGGTTTCGGAAAACCATCCATAGCAACGTTTCCAAGCCCCTAACTTTGAACCCACGACTCTCTACCCTGAACCGAAAACCCGAACGCAAGCCCCTAACGGTAACGAGCGGAGACTTAAGCCCTAACAAGAGCCTTTGAGAGGAACTAGTAGTAGAGTAGGTAACCTCTAACCCTTTTTGGGTAGTATAGTCCCTATATAATCCCTATATAACCAATATTTAACCTTTAGTCCCCCATGATACCCGACAAGTGGTATAAAGGGGCCCGTGTTGAAGAAAACTCAAAAAGGTGGCCTCTTTGAGAACTTTGGTCCTGTCCATCGTGAGCAGCATCTGGCAGCTTGCACCAATCCAGGGTGTAATTGGGGTTCAGGGGTTGGGGTTTAGGGTAGAGTCGTTGCATTTCACGGGCTCGTACGTATTCGGGTACAGGCTTGAGCTTTTATTTTCGAAGCCTGAATCATCAACAATCTTGCTCGTTGGGGTGACCGTGTAATTTTGCATTATGAATTGTAGTGTAACGTTTCAGGGCTTCTAACGGTTATTACCCTAAACGCTAAACCCTAAAACCAAAACCCTAAGCCCTAGACTCGAACTAAACGATCGTCAGATGGGGTTGTAAAAAAGGCGCGTGTAGGATTCATGGGAGAAGTTACCGCAGTGGTGAGGAGAATACGTGTGACTTGTAAAACGCGATGGAGGAATGAAAAAACGATAACGTACCATCTTTTCTGGTCACTGTATTATATCGGGGCAGACAGGCGAAGGGCAAAGAGTGTTACCACTCGAGCAAGTTACCTGGTAACTTGCTTTGTCGGGGGCCTTTGGGGTCTTGTAAGGGTCCAGGGTTTAGGCTTTTGGGGTTTACCTCTTGCCCAAAAGACCTGCCTTTCTAAGGAACTATATTTGGAAACCATAAGAAGGAACCCTAAAAAGGCATTTAGGTCTGTTCGACTGCAGGTAGGGTTTAGCCTTCAACTGGAAACACTCAAGAATGAATGGCGGGCCCAAAGAACTTGCATCTTGAAATTCTGCTGGTTGATCGGGGCAAGCCTGAACCCGGAGAAGATTGGATAGTATGAACCCCCAAGGGTCACCGCGAGCCAAGAGGGGCTTTAGGTATTTGAACATGGCCCTTGCTTAAGACCCTACAGCATGGGTACTTCGGTCGGTGATATAAATCCTGCATTACCTTAAGGACCTTAAACTATGGGAATTATGGTATGTTAATATTCCTTATTATGGGTAATGCAGGATTTATATATCATCAACCCTAAACCCTAAAACCCTGATAGACCCCTTAAAGGAATCTATTAAAGGCACCCTTATAGATCTCCTTAAAGGAACCCTAGGATCTATTCCGATGTATATCATCAACCGTTCGGAGGCCTTTGGTAGCCCCCCCACAGGCCCTGCCCTGAAGACCTAAACCCTAATCTTAACCCTGAAGCCCTAAAGCCCGAAAGCCCTAATCCCTAAAGCCCTGCCCCACACCATATACCTTCAATCAAAAACTCTAAGCCCTTGATGGATGGAGAGGTTTGGTGTTTAGAGGTTTAGTGTTTAGGGTTTCAGGGCCATTTGGGGGTTCTAGGTTTTCAGGGGCTTGGGGCTGTTGGCCTAAGTAACTAGCTTACCCTTGTAGTTAGGGTTGCTTATGACTTCCTGTGTCTAATATTATTTAGTGCGCTTAGCATTAAGCTTTAGGAACATCTCTTGATTTAGGCGCATTGGGCTCTCTAACTCTGATGTCTAGGTATCCGAAAAGCGACGTCAGACCTTCCAAAAACCTTTGTAAAGTACTGGTACCGAACAAACAATCAAAATCACCTTATTCAATGAAGAGCTCGTACGACAGATCCCTACCTTCCTCAACTCAACGACCCTCAACCCCAACACCCTAAAGCCCCAAACCCTAAACCTCTACTTTCCTCAGCACAGGTCGCTGATGTGGACCGTGCTGCTGCTTATTCTAATCATCTACAGCTTCGCCGCGGCTCGGCCCGATCCCAGAGCCCCGAATCAGGGCTGTAGTAGATATGATACGACGTCTTTACTGGTGTTGCTTGGTTTAACCCTAAGGCTCAGAATAGCCCACAAGGCTTATATAGTATGGTCTTTGGGCCCAAAGCCTTACAATATGAGCCCTTAGAGCCTTAGGGTAATAAGTAATAATGGTGTTGGAGGATCCTTCCCTTTTGGCATGTCCAAAACAGAGCAGGCTTGCCCTGCTAGCCCAAGACCCTAACCCTAAACCCTAAACCGTAGTCCGACTTCAACAATTCCCGGATGCGATTCAGCCCCACTGGCCCAAGGTTTTGAATCGTTAGGGTTTACGTGTTTTGGCTCAGGTTGAACTAAACCTTAGGCAGTAAGCCACCAAACCCGAAACCCCTAAACCCGCCTGTTTACCGTTCCTGCAAGTCACATCTCCAACCCCCAAGGTCTGTACTTACCTTTCGCTAAACTCATATAGGGCTTAGGGCTTATAGGACTAAGGGAGTTAAAGGTTTAGGGTTTCGGAACCCTAAACCCTAAACCATGTCTCTAGGGTAGGATTTAGGACTTCAGGACCTAGGGTGTGAAGGATCTGGGTTTTTTCGACTTTAAGGCTGACAGGGTTCTAGGGTGCAGCACGGTTCTTGTGCTGCTGTGCTCAGGGATTAGGGTCTCGGGCTTTACCTGGACCCCAATTGTAGAATAATTGCCTGTTATAGACTAGGACTTTGGGCTCTTTTTATAGTATCAGTTATGATAACCTGGACCCCCGAAGTATGTAGAATAATAGCCTTTTATAGGTTTTGGGCCAGTAGTTCACCTACTTTTGGGTGTCTAGGTAGGGGTTTAGTGTTTCGGGTGTAGGGTTCAGGGGGTTCAGGTTTTCGGGTGTTCTGGAAGCTTCCACTCGCTCGGCTTAGGTCATCCTCACACAGCCACTTGGCAGCAAGAAGCCGTGACTTGAGAACTTGGATAGTAGCCACAACTCGTAGGGCTACAGACTAACCCTGAACCGCAAACCCGACACCCTAGAGCATCTAAAAGTGTTGAACATCCTGCTGCTAACCCTTATAGAAACCCTGGTTCATAGTGATGCTTACATATAAGCCCGATAAGCCCCTCCTGATGCCTTAACTTCACGTCGGCTTCTGACGATCGGTGCTCTACTTGGAGGATCATGGGACTTAGTAAGTAAGGTTATAGGTACCTTAATTGGGCTTATAAGTAGTTATAAGTATGGCTACCCTACTTATAACCCTAGTAACTAAGTCCCATGACCCTTTAAGTAGGGGGGTGCTCGTATCAGAGATCCTTCGAGTCCTCCTTCGGCGTACCCACAAGGGTAGTACGAGGGCAGGCGGTTTTCTGATCCTGTCCAGCGCTAGTGCCGCTAGTGGTTCTGACGGGCAACTGATTTCCGTCTGGAGATTTGAAGAGTTGGAGGAAGTATGTCTGGTCTCCTGACAGTCCTTAAACAGCTCTACTACAATATGCACCAAAACACTTCAACACTTGGGTTTCATGAATTGTACCGTAGGCAGTAGGATTTAGAATGGGGTCCCGCAGATGAGGATTTAGGGATGTTTAGGGTGCAGAGGGTCTTCATGTTTCGAGGGTTTAGGCTTGAGGGTTCCGGGATGTAGGGCTTTAGGACACTCACTCTAATCCCTACACCCTAAGCCATCTTGGGCTTGGAGTCTAGAGCTTTTAGGGTTTAAGGTATCGGAGGGTTCAGGACGTTAGGGGTTTCGCTTGAGTTTAACATCTAATCACGCCGTCAGACCTTCACAACAATAAGCCCGAGAGGCCTACTACGATCCTGACGTACCCAAAAACATAAGCATATGACTGAAAGCATTAGCAATGGAAAATTAGGATCATAGATAGCGACAAACATGTTTTGAACGTATACGAACATGTGTGTGTATATATATATATATATGTATATACATATATATATTTATATACATACATATATGTATGTACATATATATATATATATGTGAAAAAAGGGTATATATACACATTATATACGGGCACCTATACTTTGACATATACACATGCATATACATGTACATATGCACATATTTGTACATATAGACGTACACATATGCACTGATTTCACGCATCAGCCATACACCGGGACATGTGCAAGGTTGGTGAACGACTTCTGCCGCTACGAGTCAGTGCATCCTGGCACTCTCTTCGTAGAGCCCTTTAGCTGGTTCTAGGGTACATATTATATGGTTAGTAGACCCTAAACCCAAAGCCCTAAACCCTAAACTTAAACTCTAACTGGAGCCCCCTGGGGTGGTTCGGTGCTGAGGAGTGAGAGGACTAGGGTTCTCTTGCATCCCAAGCCTCGTACGGCCCAGGCATCCAATTTCTGAGTAGAGTAACACGTAAAGGGTCTTTAGGGTTTAGGGGTTTAGGGTTTAGGGTCTTCCGAGGACCCGATCTGCGCCGTAAACCCTACCTGGACCCGAAAGAACCTACCTTTTTCGGGTTCCCTATGACGATTTCTTTATAGAAGGTCCTTAAAAAGGTAGGTTCTTTAGGGTCAAGGTACACCCTGAAATCTAGCCTTCGCCCTAAACCTAGACCCTCAAGCCTGACTCCACGTAAATCCTAAGCCTTGCCCTAAGGGTCCAAGTACACCCTATTGTAGCACTTTGGGTCTTTTTTGGGTACCAGAAACCATAAATAAGGACTACTTGGACCCTCAGGGTTATATGGGAGTTTCCGCAAATTAGGGGTACCTTGTTTGAGGGTCCTTACAATAAGGATCCTACTATTTAGGGTACTATGTTAGGGCCCCCTATTTTCGGAAACTCCCATATATCCACCCCATCTCACCCCATGGGTTGGTCTGCACCGCCTCTGAGGTCGAATGGGGTTTCATATATGGGGGTTTCCGAAAATAGGGGACCTTAATATGGTACCCTAAATAGTAGGATCCTTATTATAAGGACCCCTAAATAAGGTACCGAATTTTCGGAAACTCCCATATAGAAGCCTGGATAATTACCAGGTCGATACTATTCCTCAGTGCTCCTTAGTGGAAGTATCATGAATTACCTGTATTGTGCTTCCCTGGATTACGGGTTAAGACGCTACATGCTGTTTCGTGATAACTTGTTAGGGCCTAGGACATAGCTTTAATTTAGTAGTTTAGGGTCTACAAAGGTAACTGCTAGAAGCGGTTCCATGTACCATAACGATGTTGTAGCTGAGGATGGCGGTATGTCCCTTCGCTGAGCTTGTGAGTTATTGTCTAGTTGCCCTGACTCTCCCTCTACTTGTCAGGCCACTGGTTCATGATCAGATAGACGTCTGATGTAAGTGTACCGAAGTTTGTGAGACCTGGTGAACGCTTTGAATTCGTCGGATTGCACATGCTCGTGCTCGCCCATGAAGGGTTTCGAAGTGCTGGTGCCTAGACCTCTGGAGGTGTCTGGATCGAAGATGACCGTGACCGTCGGTGGAGAAATCTTCCAGACCACGCAGTGGCGTGTTAGTGCGTTCCATGCTGATGTGGAGGTGTACGATGCCGCTGCGTTCTTACGGGCCGGAGGCGCGTTGTTCTCGGCTTCGAAAGTAATCCCTTGCGAAGGCAGGGTATGGGATTCCGCCTGATTAGGCACTGGTTCCCATCCCCGTATCAGATGGTACAGTCTATGGCACCTCCTTTGTTTGCACGTGCTCTCGCAACCGGCTTAAGGGCTGTATTACGCTCTTAGTTCCTTCCTTTGTCCTACTCTTCTCTTCTCCTCAAATAAATCGGCGTTTACGCCTAGATGGAATCCGTTTTCAATCCCTAGCCCTGATACTAAATCGTTGAAGCCTAAGCCTCTCAACCCTAAATTCTTCAACCGAAACACGATGTTCACTGATTGTACCTGTCTTTCCCAAAGGTGCCGTACTAACATAATGCAGGTTTTGAACTTGCAAGTACGTACACCATCATTCTACCATACACTCCAAAACAGAAGTAGTCTAATCAATAAAGCCCTTTATAAACCGCTCACCTTATCGAGCCCTTATAGCACAACAGAACCTTCAAAGGAGCTGTTATGTAACCTTAACCCCCATTCTAGAACCCATAAAGTGTAGTCGAACCGTCAAAGGAACCCATAAACAGGAACCCTAAACCTTAACCCCCTTATAGAACTCTCAAAGCAGAATAGAACCCTTCATGGAGCCCTAAACCCTAAACCTCTATATAAATCCCTAAACCCTAAATCCCTCAACCCCTAAACCCTCCCTTAAGGGAACCTCAAACCCAAAAGCTTAAACCTTAAATCCCTAAACCCTAAACCCAAATCCCTAAACCCTAAATCCCTAAACCTTTCCCTAAGCCCCTAAGCCCTCCCTTAAAAGAACCTTAAGCCCACGGCATCCGAGGCGCCTGGCCCAAGACAGCAACGCAGTGCCCAGCTGCGCTGCCTATCCCGACCTCCAGAGGTCCCCTTAGGGTTTTGTCAACTGGGAGTCCTTATAAAGAGATCTACAAGGGTTCCTTTAAGGGTTCCTATATAGTATTATTAGGGAGACCCCTTAAAGGGTACCCCTTCCGAACCCTACTTCTGGCTCTCTTAATCTTAAAAGGGACCTTATTGAGAGGGTCTATATCCCCGAGGGTCCCCCTAATCCTAACTCCCATAAGGTTTTGGTTGTTAGGGTTTGGCTCAAAGTTCCATCTAAGGTTAAGGGTGTAAGGGGTTGATGGTAAAGGGCTCCTTCAAATTTTACCTTAACCCGGAAAAACCTACCTTTTAAGGACTTATATAAGGAAATCATAATAAGGAACCCTAAAAAGGTAGGTTATTCAGGGTTAAGGTAGGGTTTCGAGTTACCGCCACAGGCCGCTGCGGTTTGTTTGCTTTGAAGTTCTTTGAATGGTTCTATAAGGGTTGCCCAAAGTTTTTGTTGTTGACTTTAGGGTGCCTTCAAGGGTTCCATAAGGGTTCCCTTAGGGGTTTATGATGTTCGGATTTTGGATCAGGGTATCAGGGTTTTTGGGAAGTACTGAGGCAGCCTGTGCCCGAAAACGCACACCCTAATTTCAAAATTGGATTCAAGGTTGGGGGTTATACATGTTTAGTGGTTTTGGGTGTATATAATGGTTGTGGGTTTTTAGCACGTGCTTGAACTCCGCCGAGCTTTCCCGTAGGTGCTCTGTTTAGGCTGCAGTGTTTCGGTTCCTGGAGGGTCCATATACACTGCCATTATGGAATCAGGTCCTAAACGACCATCCCTTTACGTCTTTGGGGACCTATATAATTGAATTCCACAATGGTAGTGCATGCAGGTGTTGTTTATCACTTTTGTAGGCTGTAGGCTTTTATATACCGCGGTTTTACAAGGTTTCCGTTAGGTTTAGTTTCGGCATTCAGGGTGTAGGGCCAAAGGTTGAAAGTTCCCAGGCTTTCGGGTTCGTCCCATTTCCGGGCATAGACGTTGGAAATCAGGGAACAGCACGCGAACCCAATGGTAAAAGCAGGCAAAGCGTCGCAAAGTCTCATTTAATGTGGTCCCTTTGCAATGTCCCCAAGCTGGGTGTATGATTTTGGCTATTGGTGACATCAATGACAAGGTGTGTTTTTCTTTGTTTGTAGGATGTCAACTCCTGCAGCAGAGCGAAAGCCAATGCAACAAGCAAGACTGTCTAGTTTGTGGGCCGTGCCTGGTTTTGATCCAAGAGATAGCCTCAACACAGCCGTGCTTAGAAACTCAGAGGGTCCATATACACCACCATTATTGAACTAGGCCATAATTGGTATGGCCTTTTCTGCACCTAGTTCCAAAATGGCAGTGTACATGAACCCTCCCGGTATGGCTTCTTGTTATTGTCATTACACTCAGAGACCTCGGAGTTCTATCATCATTGCTTGCGCACTGCTTGAGACCACATGCCTTTGACTGGAGTTGCTTTCCCTAAGGCTACATATATATAACCATATAGTAGATACTTAGGTCTGAACAGGGGTTCCCATATAGGTTGGTACCTATATGGGTACATGGAGCCTCAGGGATTCTGCGCTTACATACAAATAGAAACCCGAGTCGAAAAGCCTTCAAGCTTGAGGCCAGACCCTGAGCGGCCAGCGCCGGAATTCCAATGTAGGGCTTCGAAATTGATTTTCTGAAATAAACGAAACAAGTACACCCTAGAAGCCCTATACCCTAAACCCTAAACCCTTAGACCCCCGAAGACCGGCTTTGCTGGCTCGGCTGTTCATCGTGCAAGAGAACGTACCGACCTTCTCCATGGAAATCCTACAAAGGAGTTTAGGGTTTAGGGATCCTGGGCGATTTATACTGGGTCGACATCGTCGTGCCGGACCCTCATGCCTATAGCTGGCCCATCGCAGGAATGCGCAAGTTCACCCTTCTACGCCACCGTTTCAAGACTGGTGCCGCGACACAGCCCTTGAACAGGTTCTCTGAACTGTTCACAATGCCAGCAGCCGAGTCCTTTGAGACAGAGCTTGGTGGGCGAAAGCAGGGGAGAAGAAGCAGCAGGAGCTACGCGAGTGGCAGGGAGCACTGCAAAACTTACCTTTGGTTAGTAGGGAATGGAAGAATGATAGTCATAGTAGTTATAACTGTACCCCATTCCTCCATTCCCTACTAACCAAAGGTAAGAAAAAGGTGAAGGAGGACAGGGAGGAGGACGACGACGACGAGGGCAGCCTCAGCCCTGAACCCGTGTTTGTAGAAACGAGAAAAAGTCCAGAAACCCCACCTTGGCCCTAAAACACCTACCTTGTCAGGACGTATACATGGAAGTCCTAGTCAGGAGCCCTATTTAGGGTTTTGGTCACTTGTTTCCATACTCTGAATGATTCTTGGTGCACGTAACACCCTCTAGTGGGGTACTTTGACCCTTAGGGAACCGCAAAGCCTGAGAGCCCAGGTACTGGGCCAGCCTACCAGCGGCCTGGATGACCTAGATGTCGGTTCCTGTTACAGTATGAGTTTATCTAAGCTACCATAATTGGATCTACAGTATGTAGTCGGGTTTAGGGTTTAGGCCTCGAGGGGTTTGAGTTACCATGCATAGTATTAGTACATCACGCAACCTGGCTTGCCTTATTCTTACAGTACCAAGTAACGTAAATCCTTACAGAGAGCCCGGCATATGTGGGTCTTTGAGGGTGGGCTGGGCTGGGTTGGGCTCACCGTTTCGGGTTCTTGGTTCAGGGTTGCGTTTGGGCTGTCGGCTCCACACGATGACACTGCACAAGTTGTTTGGCTTACCTTACTGGAACTTTACAACTTTGGGGTTCTTATGAGGTAGTCGATTCTGAAAGTTTCAACTTTCATTCCCTTGGGTTTTGGGCCAGTGAGCTACTAGCGCCTTGGGATTGTGGGTGCCAGTGTTTCTCCTAAGGACCTTTGATCAAGGATTCGCGGCTGGGTCAATTCCCCCTGCAGCAACAGTTCCTCCATGGTGACCCAATATTGTTATACCTGCCCTGGTGCCTTGTGGTAACTAGCTGCATCTGCATGAGGGGTTTCCTTCATATCCTTATACTGCATAATTAGAGCATTGTTTCTGCACTCCCAAATCCACAGTGCCCCCGCTCATATATCCCTTTAAAGGAACCTGTATAGAACCCTTACAGATCCGTTTAAAGGAAACCTAAACCCCTACGAAGTCCCATAACCCCCCCCCCCCCCTCCCATGAAGGAATTTGGCCCGATGTGCTGTGATCATCCACAGCTGGCATTCCCATCTCCACACCCTCAAAACCACCAGGAGTGTGTACTCTTTGAGAAGGAACCCCTTACAGAACCCTTTGCAGGAGCCCTTGAAAGTAAAAAGCGTTAAACCCTAAACCGAAAGCTAGACCCGACCCCAGACCATAGAGCGAAACCCCCAGACCCAAAACCTCTAAACCCTAAACCCCTAAGCCCCTAGATCCTGAATCCTAAACCCCTCAACGAGCCCTGGAACCCGAGGACAGCCCTATAGATCCTTTACAGAGCCCTTCTCGATCCCTTTATATAAAGGAACCCTTATAGATCCCATTAAAGGAACCCTTATAGATCCCTTTAAAGGAACCCTGGGATCTGCCGCCTTGAAACTCGAGGACAGCATGCTCACCCTCTTCGTAGCCATCTCAGGGGGCGTGGACTGGTCTCAGACAATGGTGCCTCTGGGCGAGGCCAGAGTTGGGGTTTAGGGAGTATAGGGTTTAGGGGTTTAGGGGTTTAGGGTTTAGGGGTTCAGGAGTTTAGGGTTTAGGGGTTTAGGGTTTGTAGGGTTTAGGGCGTAGGGTTTAGGGGTTTAGGGGTTTAGAGTTTAGGGGTTGAGGGTTCCTTTAAAGGGATCTATAGGGCTGTCCTCGGGTTCCAAGGCTCGTTGTAGGATTTAGGGGTGTAGGGTTTAGGGATTAGGGTTTTTTGACGTGTAGAGAAGAAGTCTTTTCAGGGTCCTCACAGGATACTCTCGGGGGGAGGAGTGTGTGGATGTAAGGAGTTTAGGGGATTGGGTTCTCATATCGGGTCGGGTTGTGTGTGGATGGGCTTAAAGCTTGGGTTTAGGGTGCAGGATTTAATTAGAGTGTTAGGTTAGGAGTTTAGGGTTTAGGGTCTAGGGGTTTAGAATTCAAGTGTAGTAGAAGCCTCAACCAGCGTTTTTGCAAGGGCTACCATAAAGGCCAGATAGTCCAATAAAGGGCTACCCATTGCCATCAGGCTACCTGTTTGGAGTGTAAAGTTGAAAGCCTTCTCGCTTGGTTTGGTGAAAGTGTAGACCGAAGCTTCAAACCCGACCCAAAGCCTCCAAAACCCCTTAATTAAGGAATATACCTTAAATTATATTAGGATCCCTAGTATAATTTAAGGTATATTCTTTAATTAAGGGGTTTTGGAGGCTCTGGGGATCCCTCTTCAGCACTGAAACCCTGGGTCCCGAGCCCTCAGTTCTGACCCGACACCTCTCAGCCTTACCTGGGTGGTTGTCAAAATTAGGGCCCCTTTGTCCGGTACCCTAAACAGTACTAGGTAGGGCTTTGGCTTAAGAGGATCTTATTTACTAATATTTTTCAATTGATTTAAACGCCCCACCTAGAGTAGGTGCCGTACTATATTAGGGACCCCGGCAAGGGGGCCATAATTTTGACAACCACTCACATACCTGCAAGCCTGAAGCCCCAGACTCCTAAGTTTCCTCACCAACCCAACCCGAAAAGAACAGCGATGAGTTAGAAGCTGCCCCCACCCTGTAATAATGACTATAAGGATTATATTACAGCCCTATTATATTCCTATTATACCACTATTACAGGGTGGGGGCAGCTTCTAAGCGATGAGACTTTTTAAGCACCAATAGCTTCCCTAAACCTAAAGCCCTTTCAAGATACCCTACACCACCACCATAGTCTACTTACTAACGACTAAACTTGACAACCCCTCCTTCTCAGAAAAAATGCAAACAACTCCGCAAGACAACGAGATATTCAATCCTTTAAGGGTCCAAGTAGTGCTTCCTTATGGTTTTTGGTATCCAACATGGACCCAGTGTCCGACGCACAATAGGGAGTAGTTAGAGGGTCATGGGACCTAGTACTTGGGGCTAGCACGAAGGTACCTAGACATATAAGACCTTACTTCTCAAATCCCATGGGCCGTTTAAATAGACCCAAAACCCTACAGATCCCTTTAAGGAGCTTTTTAAGGATTCCTTTAAGGATCCCTAGAATTGTCACCTGGACCTTTAGGGAGAACTAGAATGGGAGTTTCCGAAAACTAGGGGTACCTTGTTTGGGGGTCCTTATAATAAGGATCCTATTATTTAGGGTACTATATTCGGGTCCCCTATTTTCGGAAACTCCCAAATAGCCCCCGGTGCCTCTCTGGAGGTCTCTGGGCTGGCTGCGACAACACTTTGCTTGTGCGCTTCAGGGTGTAGGGTTTAGGGTTTGGGGTTTAGGGTTCAGAGTTTAGGGTTTAGGGTTTAGGGTTTAGGGTTTAGGGTTTAGGGTTTAGGGTTTAGGGTCAGAGTCTAGGACCTACAGTAGGCCCTTATTCCCTTTTTGTAGGGTTCAGGTTCCCTTCTAACCCCCTTTATCTCAAAAAGGGCACCCTTTTTATTCCTAGGTTACTCCTGGGTGTAGGAGTATGGGGTTCTGAGTTTAGAGTTTAGGGTTCAGAGTTCAGGGTTCAGAGTTCATGGTTCCGAGTACAGGGTTTTGAGTTTAGAGTTTTAGGGTTCAGAGTTCAGGGTTGAGGGTTTAGGGTTCAGGGTTTATCGTATAGGGTGTAAGCTTTTTGCCTAAACGGGATTATTTGTCACAGTTCGTTATAATGTGATTTCAAGGTTTACTTGCTGCTTGTGTTTTGTTTCACATTTTAACAGTTTCTTTATACATAGAGGGTCATGGGACTTGGTAAGTAGGTTATAATTAGGGTTATAAGTACCCTAAGTGGGGTTATCCTAATTATAACCAACTTATAACCTTACTTACTAAGTTCCATGAGCCTTCAAGTAGGGTCTCGTCGGGGTTGTACAAGGTGTGTTAGGATTTGATTTGGCGACGGTGTCGCACAAGGCTTGCATGGTTTCTATGTGTTTCATATCCCAGAATGATCGGATTTGCAGTAGATGCTGTAAGGGCCCTTAGTTTCAGGATCAAGCCCTAAACAGCCCGAAACCCTGAAGCCCTAGTTAAGCTCTTGTGGATTTAGTGTTTGGGGTTTGGGGTTTAGCGAAGGACTTGCTCTCGAGGGTCCAGGGTCTCACCTCTAGTCTCCATTGTAGGTCCCCTTTTGGGTTAGCTACAAATTTTTATTGTAGGATCCCAACCATCAAAGTTGGTTAATTATAAAATTTAACCAAAAAGAGTTGGTATAATGGAGACTATAGGCAGGGTTTGGGTTTTGGGGTGCAAGTACCACTGCAGAAAACCAACGACCTTGCGTTTATGAACGCTTGGACAGCCTTCCGAAGTGGCGGCGACTCGAAGAATTGAGGCGAGTGTCGTTGCCCTGCTTGAGCATATCATGTGAGAGAGATGCAACGACTCGAAGATCACTTCCCGATCAAGCTAGGCAGACCACGGCAGATCGCTGTGCGGCCAACTATCGCACAGAGCGCGGGCGCCACCACTACATGAAGGATACTTTTGTTCATTTAACTTGTGATGCCCATAAGGAGCTGCATCAAATGTTGCCTGGGAGCTTGCGAGGCAGAAGTCAGCGGCCTTGGCGATACTTTTTAGCTTTGAGCGAGCTGGGTGTTCTGTCACGTCTCCGCAGTTTAATGACGGCACTGTTCTTCAATGAGCTCCGGGTGGATCAGGAGAGAAAGAGAGAAACAGCAAAGTGTACGAAGAAGACGAAGCTGGCGAGGGCAACTCTGCTGTCTGGCCCTCATTCTACGCAGTAAAAACAGGCACCTGACGATGAGGACCTTCAGCAGTGCAGGAAAACGAGGTTCGAGCAATATTTGCGGTTGCACAGTGACAAGTCCGTGTGCAAATCACCACAGCTTCCGTCAGGGGGCTTGCAAGTTTCACATAACCTTTGAGCCATAAACTAGATTTCTACGCCCGAATACAAAGCCGAAGCTCTAGCACACGAAGTCCCTTAACCCCACAGCTACAACCCCTACACCAACCCTAGGCCTGAACCTTTTCAATTTGAACCTGTTGTAAAAGAAGTACGAAGTAGATCTATACTACATCTACAGAGCTCCCAAGAGGAGGCTTGACTGCTTGTTAGTTCCCGAAACCCAAAGCCCTACACCATGAACCGTCAACTTCATTGAGCTGCACTTCGATTTACGGTTGAAGGCATTTTCAGGAAGTCTGGAGGCGACCCCAGATCATCTTCATGCAATGTTCCTTTGGGTGTTTCTAGTGATTCTAGTGAATTCATGTTCAATAATGCCTTATGCTCGAAGCTAAAGCCGCTAGCGCCCCTCTTATGTAAGTGTCTGTGTGTAGGGAGCCTACCCAGCAGCTTTAAATACATCATCGACCCCTAAGATTGCCTATCATTTTGGTTTTCCAAATTGCTCCTGAGAGACCGTTTCGTGAAGGCAAACGAAGTTGCTTGAATCAAGGATCTCTAGCAGGGGGTCCTCCTTCAAGCCTGGCAGGTACATCATTATCACGGTTTTTGCCGTGATAAACGTGGTGACAGGTGGGCACAGCCAGCCTGTGTTTTTTGGGATCGTCTTCGGTTCAGTATGTCGCGTTAAACAGGGGGGCATCAAGGATGCGCAAAGATGCGAGCCTGTTGTGTGTTATGTCATACAGCAAGCACACATATTTCAATTTAATAGCATAATGAAGCACGATTATGCGGTTTTCGCATCGCGCAATGAACTTTGGCATCCGTTGCTTGCTACTCGCAGCGCCACGAGGGTTGCAATCCAAGCGGATCCACCTTAATCCGAAGTCACCAAACCCGCAAGCACCCGGGTTATTTGATTCATTGTACTCACTGGTATAGTCTCCTGCCCAGAGCTGGGCTCATCGTGGCGGTTTTGATCCTACGATCGAAACGCAGAGCCCAATACCCCCTCAGGGAGGCTACGGGTTTTCTGAAATCCGTCAACTTATATAGACCGACTAAGATACCTTACTGCGTGAACTGCTTGAGGCTTCGCAAGAAGACTTAACCTAGGACCTAGAGTAGGCCCTTATTCCCTTTTTTAAGGGTTCGGGTACCCTTATAAGCCCCTTTAAACCACAAAGGGCACCCTTTTTATTCCTAGGATACTCTTGGGCCTAGTAACCATGCATTCCTGACTTGAAAATTGTCTGGGCTGTTTGCGCAATCGTCGAGGCTGACTTCAGTCATAGGGATCCTTAGGGGTGTAGGGGGGAGGGGTGTAGGGTTTAGGGTTTAGGGGTTTAGGGTTTAGGGTGTAGGGTGTAGGGGGGAGGGGTGTAGGGGACTATATTTCCTTAAATAGGCCTTATTAGTCCTTATTATGGGCCTTAAGGCCCCCTACCCCCCCTCCCCCTACACCCCTAAGGATCCCTATGGTGCAGGCATGACATGAACAATCCGTTGCATCGGTTCCTGAGCTGTGAACTGTGAGCGCCCCTGGCGTCCGTCCATCTGGGGGCTGTAGGCATTTTGAGCAAATCCGTTTTTGTATGCTACCTATCTACCTATCTACCTGTTGATCTGTCTATCTGTAACAGTATATATATATATATATATATATATATATATATACATACACATATGTACATGTTCACACACACACATACTTATGTGTGTGTATACATACATGTACATATGTGTGTGTATGCGTACCAGCACCACAACGTCATATATGTCTACAGTTTACATATTATACATATATATATATATATGTATATGCATATAGGTATACACAAAACATATATATATATATATATATATATACAGATTATGTAAGCCCTAAACCGAAGGCGTCTTCTGCAATACGGCCATTGAGAGTGCTGCTGCAGACAAGGCCTAAAAAAAAAAGGGTTGGTCTCGTAGGTAGTCCATGGCAGTTTTCTAATTAGGGTCTCTTGGGGGCCTTTTTTTCGTAAGGGTAAGGACCCTCATTTACAGTTGAGCCGCTAGCCTCTGCATTTATTCAGATACTGCAAAACCCCTTACCTCAGGAATGTACCCTGAATTGCTTGCAACCCTAATAGGGTTTGGAGGCATATTCCTTCAATTTGGGGGGTGGGGGTGGGGCCTCTCGAATCTCTGGGTACACCAGGGTGCAATTTGCAGATCCATGGTCCAACGCTCAAGGGGTTTCGGGATAAGAGTTATCCGATTCAGGATCCGACTTCATCCCCTCTGCACCGTAAACACATGTAACTCACGTGGGTTTGGGTTCGCACCTTAGGCTGCAAAGCTAGCTCCTAAAACTTAAACCCGGAACCCTAAACCCTAAACGCTAAACCCTAAACCCTAAACCCTAAAACTTAAACCCGGAACCCTAAACCCTAAACCCTAAACCCTAAACCCTAAAACTTAAACCCGGAACCCTAAACCCTAAACCCTAAACCCTAAAACTTAAACCCGGAACCCTAAACCCTAAACCCTAAACCCTAAAACCCTAAACCCTAAAACTTAAACCCGGAACCCTAAACCCTAAACCCTTCATGAGCAGAGGCTCCACTCAACTTCGGGACCTTCGTAGTTCAGGGCAGCGCTGCGGGGGTTCAGTGTTTAGGCTTTAGGGTGGCATTATCTGTAGTTGTTTTCGTGGAAGGCAGCAGGAGAAGAGTGATGTAAGATGCAGCAGCTTGGAAGATACAGAACCTCACGCTTCTATCTGAATTCTGATAGGCATGCAAAGATGAAGGCTCTTAGTTTACCCTTCATGAGAGAGTTCTAGTTATCAGGTTTTTGCATTGGGCTGAAGCCCTCTCACTCAAAGGTCTACTTCCCAAGGCCAGGGATCAGGCCCAAGTTTAGGGTTTAGGAAGCCCGAAATTGCACAATCCAAGACCCAAAACTGCTTCCCGGACCCTAGAAGACTTGCTGTTTGATCGTCCATGGTCCGTGCAAAATGGCAAACCATCAGCAGGTAAAACTGCAGGCAGGACTTTTTTTAGTATAGAAGCTTGAAAAAGGAGTAAGCTTATTCTTCAAAGTTTCCTTATTTCAGTTATATTACAGACAACAAAACTGAATTGAGGCACCACCGTCTACTGAAGTCTATTGCTTGGGATGTGCAGGAGCAGGGTTACACCGCTGCTTTTGTCCCTGGGGCCCAACAGTTGCTCCGGTGTACGGCTTACGGTTCACGGTTTCATAGCCAAGACGCACTTACCCTCAACCCCCAATCCCCTAAACCCTTTCTAAATTTAGTTTTATGCGTTTGTTCGAAGCTGTGCCTCTGAGTGAGGACATTGCCATCATGAAGCAGATGAAGCAACAAGCAGCACAGGCCGTGGTGCACCGTAAACTTGAAGACTCTTTTGCAAGCCGAAATTTATTGAAAATTTTGAAGATAGGTGCAGGAAAGTTTGTTGACAAGTCTTGCTTGGAACAACATGTTAAAGCCTATATCAGAGCATCTTAGTAATGAACCTCCTTGTGGTTGATGTCATTCTAGAACCAAGTGCTTGAACTTTGACCCTGAGCCAATAGCTATACCCAATCCCACAAAGTGGTCTACTTGGAGGTTCATGGGTACTTCTCAGTGGAGTTAGTAGAGTAGACCTGGTTTGGGTTTCTTCCCTATAGAGTCCCTATATAACCAAAAAGGTTAACCTTTAGTTCCCAATGATACCCGACAAGTAGGAAAAGGTTTATAGCTATAGTAACTACCCCACTTATAACTACCCCTGAAACCCCAAGCACCTTCAGTCTAGAATCCGCAAAGGAACTCCAAAAGGAATCCTAAAAGGAGCCCTTTAACCTTTAAAGGAACCCTAAAAAGAATCCTAAAAGGAGCCCTTTAACCTTTAAAGGAATCCTAAAAGGAACCCTCCCATATGGCTGAACAAATTCCAGGCTTCAGGCCCTCAACCTTCGCAAGAGGGGGTTTAGGGTTTAGGGTTTAGGGTCAATCGCTTTCCCTTGAACCCTAAACAATATGTACCCTGTACCCTATACCCTAAACCCTAGATACCCTAAACCTTATACCCCAAATCCTATATAACCTTAACCCTATATACCCTAGGCCCTATTTAGGGTTTAGGGGTTCAGGCTTTAGGCTTTGGGGGTATGGTATATCTTAAGCCTGAACTCTGAACCCTCCCCCGCTCCTCAGTGCCAGTAATCCTTTCAGACGAAGTTGTTCAATTAAAAGGTGGGTAGTTGTCAAAATTGTGACCCCTTTTTGGGTACTCTAAATATTAGGTGCCGTATTATAATAAGGACCCACAGATATTCTGACAACCACCCAGGCCGCTGTCCGGCTGGTAAGACAAGGGCGTTTAGGGCCTTGAACCTAGGGGGTTTGAGGGTTCAGGTTTAGGGTTTACTAGGATGCCAAGTAGTACCCTGATGCCCTTTTTGTAGTCCTAGGTTCCTTATAAAGGTACCCAATATAGAAAAGGGAGCCCTTCTTATTCCTAGGTTACTGGGCATCCTAGTTTCGGGTTAAACCTGGTCCGACTTCGGTACTTGGCAACGTTGCCTTTTGCCTGTGTAAGCGCCGGCCTCATACGATCTCTGGTTTATTGTTTAACCTGACTGTCAGGTGTCTAAATATATAGGGGCCTAAATAACTACCTACACCATTTTGGGGGTTCCTTATTATAACTGTAGTATAATGGGCCCCACACCCCATTCTAATTATTAAGGCCCCTACTTAGAGGATCATGGGACTTAGTAAATAGGTTATAATTGGGGTTATAAGTCCCCTAAGTGGGGTTATCCTAATTATAACCTACTTATAACCTTACTTACTAAGTCCCATGAGCCTTCAAGTACAGTTTGTTATCCCGTTCTGTGTGCTGTGCCTACAGCATACATTTAAATTATCAGCCAGCACTTGGGTCGGAACCAACGCCTTACTTGTGAGTGCCGCGGGCCTCCTCGGGAGCAGGGTCAGCCTTCTTCTCCAAGCTCTCAGGCTGATACTGCCCAGAGAGCCCAATACCCCATAATTAAGGAACAGAGCATAAATCATAATATTAATCCCTATATAATTTGAGCCATATTTTTTAATTAAGGGGTATTGCGCTCTCTGGGTGGCCCAAGGCTTGATAAACTGGAACAAGCTCTGCTACGATTTACGATGCACCTCAGCACGACCTCATGAGTCGATACCAACTAGCAGAAAAAGTAGTTCACATGGCGCAAAAGCCACGGTGAGTCCGTCTCAAGGAACGATGAATAATACTTGCAGGGCAAGCGTCGTTGGCCAGGGCTGCCGACGAGGTCCACACCTTCATCTGCAGACGTTCGCAGTGCATGTACCTCTATGCACCATGCCTTGAAAAGCTCCATTGCTGCAGCCTGGTGTTACCAGGCTGCAGACCGCGAGGTTGGGCATAATTACCCGCAGCCATATTCTAATGATTGAAGGCGCTCCACTAACTCCTCATAATAGCCCTTATAGTAGCCCTTATAGACCCTATTAAAGGGACCCTATGTTCTAACTTTTAAGGCCTCCAGTTGAAGATGTCTCAAGCCGCGCCGGCTTCTGAGTTTCTCGGAGGCAGCTTCGGAAGTTTGGGGTGGACTGCGATGTGCGCAGGTCGAGTACTCCACGGACACCAACCTACCTTGGAGGATCATGGGACTTAGTCAGTCAGGTTATAAGTACCTTAATCGGGGTTATAAGTAGTTGTAAGTATGGCTACCCTGATTATAACCCTAGGTACTAATTCCCATGATCCTTTAAGTACTCCACGAACACCAACCTGGTGGAGAACTTGACTCCTTGCCGGAAAGCAGCTGCGGAAGGAACAACCTGCCGAGTCACGGGCGGCCTAGTCCACACGGCGATTCGATCGACATTGGAGTCTGTTGGTCCTTACACATCCGTTCAGTATGCTCGAAAAGTCCAAACCCTGAACTCTCCATCTCTAGCGAGGCACACCACACCACCAAACCTTAACGCTACTTAAATACCTAAACCCTTTATCTTCAAACCCCCTGTAACTACCTTACACTCGCTGGAAACCATGAATGTGTAGATGCTTACAAGACCCCTATCGATCATATAGAAGCCTGAGTACTCAGTAACGATTAGTATTCCTTTTTGTTCCTTACTCTTATAGTATATTCATATGTGAATATATATATATATATATATATATACTTTTTTCTCATAGACCCCCCCAAGACCTATTCTGAGTATTGAGGCTTCTACATCAGATACTTACAAGAGCTTTCTAACCCCGAAAGTCCTAAACCATCCTAGACCCAACATTTGAAACCCAAAACCCTAGTTGGAGGTTCATGGGTAGTTATAAGTGGAGTTATAAGTAACGTAACTATAACTATAACCCATACTGTTTAACTTATTAGACTACTTTTACCTTAAGGGTCCATGTACCCAAATAGCATATACTTGGGCCTTAAAGTAGTCCCTATGTAAGCACATCAAGCCCCAAAGTATATACTAATTGGGTACATGGACCCTCAGGGTTAACTCTCCATGAACCTCCAAGTACTAACCCAGAGAGCCCAATACCCCTTAATTTAAGGAATATAGCTTAAATCAGAATATTAACCCCTACATAATGCAAGCCGTATTCCTTCATTAAGGGGTACTGGGCTCTCTGGGTGAAACCTTACTATACTCTTATAGAATCCCTATAGATCCCTTTAAAGGGGCCCTTAAAGGAGCCTAAACCCAGATCCGAGTCCCGGAATTGTCGCTTCTTGGCAGGTCGAAGCCCTCCGTGGGTTTTTTGAGAAGATCCAGACGGTGGAGGGGAACGTCGGAAATCAGGTGGCTCAGCTTTGGGATTACAGGGTTCGGGGTTTGGGGATTTCGGGTCAAAGTTCTCTGGGAAAGATTTAGGGCTATAGTGAAATCCAGAAAGTTGGAACATGAGTTTAGGATGATTAGTGCGAGGATTCCCCCTACTTTACATGATGGGCATGAGGATAATGGTGTTCCAACTTTCTGGCTTCTACCCTAAGGCTTTTAGGATTACAGGGTTAGGGGTTTGGGGATTTAGAGTTTTGGGTTTAAGGTTTGGGGTGTCTTGTGCTTTTTGGGGTTTGGGATCTGTGGCGTCTGGAGTTTTGGGAGTTGGTCGGTATATTGGGTATGCAGATTTCCAGTGGATTTTGATTTCAGGGTATGTGTTTTGTGTTCAGGGTTTGGGCGACCGAGAGATCACCTCTGCATACAGATTCTTTAATCGGATGATTCTAGAAGGTTTAGGGCTTTTCGGGCATGCATACATACAGGCATACTTTGCATACCTGTGTGCATCCTGTAGCTTCTGGGTGCTAACAGTTCAGGATGTAGGATGACAAGGCCCATTAAAGATCGGCGGAATATCCCAGGCCGCAGAAGCAGCGAAGGGCATCCAATGACGGGCAGCTGTTTCAGGCTGAGGGTGAGGAGTTGGAGGAGAATGCGACAGTCTCTAACTTGCTTGTCCAGAAAGGGCGGGATGAGTCCTCTTCTGGCCCGGAGCTTGAGGTGACTGCCCATGCAGCAGCTGCAGCCTCCAGACTTCATTATCAGGATGAGCCCGATGAGGACTCGGACTCCGACAGCGCCACTAGCATGGCTCCTCTCCCACCGCCGAAGTGGAGCTGTTCTGTTCTCTTGGCTGGGAAACCCTTGGCCTGGCTAGCTTCAACCACCTGCCCAGAGGGTCCAAGTACTCCCTATTATAGGACTTTAGGGCCTTTTTAGGTATCAAAAACCATAAATAGGAACTACTTGGACCCTTAGGGCTGCTGGGAAAAGTTCATTCAGCGTGCAAAATCTGAAGCAGATGCCAAGCAAAAGAACCGAAAGTACGATGGCAGCAGGCGCAAGGCCAAGGCGGCGGCCCGGAAAGCAAGTTCAGAGGGCAGCCTAAAGCCTTTCGGAAGCCCTGGGCCTAGGGTTTAGGGTATCAGGGTAGTAAGCTTTAGGGGTTAAGGGGTTTAGGGCTCAGAAAACTTACATACACAGCGACTTCAACTGAACTCCCTAGCCCCCAAAGGGATTTCTGGGGAGGTTTTGTGTAGGGGTGGACCCCTTATGACGACGGAGTCTTACGGCGTGTTCTTGCACTTACAGGAAGGATGTTCCCATGTACATACCCGAGGCATCTAAGGACTCATATATTAAGGCTGTGGAGCCCCCAAAGACCATCCTGTATAAGGCTTTTGGGCTATGTTGATGTCCAGGGATAGTGGAAGAGTCCTTTTGCTCTGAAGCCTCCTTATGTCAGCAGCTTAAACTCACTTGGGAATTGCCGAAAATTAGGGGTACCTTTTTTTGGATCCTTGTAATTCGGATCCTACTGTTTAGGGTGCTATATCTTAGGGTCCCCTGTTTTCGCAAACTCCCATGTCGGTAGCTTAAGCTCACTTCTTGCTCGAAGGTTCTGGGACCCCTATAGAATCAAGCCAAAGCTTAAGCAGCTAAGGGGTTTAGGGGTTTAGGGTTTAGGGGTTTAGGGTTTAGGGGTTTAGGGTTTAGGGGTTTAGGGTTTAGGGTAATATGGGAACCGTTGAAAGAAGCCCTCTATTCTCATGACATGGAAAGGTGCAAGTACCTAATAGTCAGATACTTGCTATCCTAAACCCAAGTACCGGAGTATTGGGTCCCCGTGGACCCTCGGGGAGATAATTGCCAAAAAAGCCCTAAACCCTAAACCTTCTCCTTTAAGGAAGCCTTAAAGGAACTCCCTGTCACCCTGTACCCTGAGTCCGACTTTTAGACCCTAAACCTTAAAGCCTAAACCCTAAGCCCCAAACCCTAAACCCCTAAACCCTAAACCCTGAACCCGAAATCCTAAAACCTAAACCCTAAACCCTGAACCCGAACCCGGTCCCGACGTTACGGCGCTTCACTGTGCTTTCTCCGCAGAGGTGAGCCTGCGAGATCTTAAGGCTCGGTGGGAGCTTGAGATTCCCGGGTTAAGGGTTCAGGGCTTACTATAGGGGCCTAAATTACTACCAAACCTAATTTTGGGTCCGGTTATGAATATAGTATAAAATGACCCGAAACCCTATTCTAATTTCAGGCCCGTACAACTCTACAACAGTATTAGTTAGTTAGGGTTTCGGGCTTAGGTTTATGTAGTGTGGATCTTCGGGGTTCAGGCTTTTGGAGTTCTGGGCGTGGAGGCTCATACCATTCCCCCTTTTTTAGGGCGCCTACTTTTTAAGATAACAGATCCTAGCCATGAAACTTGGTATCCTCGAAAGGGGTAGGGTATGAGCCTCTAGGTAGGGTTGGATCGGGTGAAGGGTTTCTGGAGTCTAGGGTTTAGGGTTTATGGTGACTCACATGCTAGGGTTCTAGGTCCCAAAGACTCTACATGGTTTTGGGGACTGGGACACTACGATTTGCGTACTTGGACCCGGCTGAGGCTTTAGACTAGGGCATTAGGGTTTGTTGGGGCTTTGCGGCTTGTGGGGGCCTTCAATAGAGCTGCAGGCTTCAAGGTCTTGGTGCTTTTTGGCATTAGACTTGAGTTTCTCGTGTTCATAGTTTGAGTCTCTCGGGTTTAGAATGCAGGGTTTGAGGGTAGTTCCTGCATGACCTTAAGGACCCGAATTAAACTATGGGAGTTATGGTATATTCCTTATTATTTTGGGTAATGCAGGATTTATATCATCAACCGCATTATGGGTTTAGGGTTTAGCGTTGTGGGTTTAAGGAGATTCTAGGTGTCAGAACTCTCGGAGTCCTAGAGCTATGTCAAAGACGCTAGTTAGAGTTGGACCTGGAAGAAGGGCCGTAAACACTAACCTTCAAATCCTAATCCCTAAACCCTAAACCTCTAGTTCCTTTGAGCCCACACTTGAGTAAGGATTCCATAAGCGTTTAGAGGCCTGCAGAACTACCTACGGGGCTCCGTGTAATAACGATAAAGGCCCCGGTCCTTATCCCCAAACCCTAAACCCTATTCCATTTAACGTTGTCAAGAAAAGGCGCTCAAGTAAGTCACAAAGCTTAGCAAGCGAAGGAGGTGCGCAAACCTTCAGCCCCTAAAGCCCTAGCCCTTAAAGGAACCCTTACCCAGAGGGTCCATATACATTACAATTATGGAATTAGTCCCCTGCCATAATAGGGATGGTGCTTTGGGACCTAATTCCATAATGGTAGTGTATATGGACCCTCTGGGTTATAGAATCATTACCTTAGATAGCCAATGGAAGAACTTTAAACTTTTACGCCTTATGTATTTCGTTTATTTTGCTCTGCTTGTTTTTTTTTGGGGGCCCGGTCATCGAAGCCGAGACTTACAGGAACCCTTGAAGGAAAATTCGCGGGAGCCCTTAAATGAACCTCCCAAACCCGAAACACTAGCTCCGAACCGCTAAACCCTAAACCCAAACAGGATAATCTGAGGAACCCTTAAAGGAACCCTAAACCCCTAAACCCTAAACAGGAACCCTTACAGGATAATCTAAGGAACCCATAAAGGAACCCTTAAAGCAACCCTAAACCCTCAACAGCAACCCTTACAGGATAATCTGAAGAACCCTTAAAGGAACCTGCCAAGAAAACGAAGGAGGCCCTCCACCGAGACAAGCTCTCCGGGTTCCTGGAGTCCATGGGCATCTCCACACAGGACGGTTTTGGGTTTATGAGGGTTTAGTGTTGGGGTTCAGTGGTTAATTTACTTGTCTTAAGGGTTTATTTTCAGGGTTTAGTTTGTGGGTTCATGTTAATTTCAGTTGTATTGTTTTTCAGTGTTTTCAGCTTTCCCTGAAGCCTAAACTCTAAACCCTGAGCCGTTGTCTGCCTGTTTTTGTTTGGTTCCCTATAAACTTGAAAGCACTAAACCCTGAAGCCCCAAACCCTGAACCCCTGAACCCCTAAACTCCTGGACCCCAAACCGCGTTGAAAAGGACGTCCGGAGCATCAGAATAACTACGGAGCCCTAAAAGGGGACGTCTTTTCGGCTACCGGTAACCCTAAACCTTAAATCTGTATCTTCAAGGACGTCTTGAATCCTAAACACCTAAACCCTTATAGCCCCTAAACCCCTAGACCCTAAACCCTAACCCCTAACGTCTAAACCCCGAAACCCAAAACTGCCTTGAGAAGGACATCTGGGTGGTTGTCAAAATTAGGGTCCCTTTTTGGGTCCTAAATATCGCACGGCACCTATTCTTTACCCTAAGGCTCAGAATAGCCCAAAAGCCTTATACAGTATGGTCTTTGGGCCCAAAAGCCTTACAATATGAGCCCTTAGGGTTAGGGCACCCTAAAAGGGACCAGAATTTTGACAACCAAACATCTGGCGCCTTTCGACAGCACCCCTGAAAAGGACCACTCCCTGATCCCTCAACCCCAAATCTATAGAACCCTTGAAAACGGATTTTTCCTTAATCCCTAAACCCTAAATCTATTTTTTAGAAAAACTCAACCTAACTTAAAAAAATAAAAGCCCTATAAATCTTTAAAACCCCTGAAAAGAGGACGTCTGGAGCCTCCCTAAATCTTTCAAACCCCTGAAGAGGACGTCTGGAGCCTCTTCATGATCATCGACGCGGATCGGAGTGGCCTTATCGACCTGGAGGAGTTCGTGGCGGGCTGCATGCGCCTGGGAATGAGCTTTTTACTTAAAGGATCATGGGACTTAGTAACTAGGGTTATAATCAGGGTAACTATACTTATAACTACTTATAACCCCACTTCAGGTACTTATAACCCTATACTAAGTCCCATGATCCTCCAAGTAGGGTTTTAGGGGCATTTTAGGGTTTTTATGGGGCTTATAGGGTTGAGGGGGTTCGAGTTTAGGGATTTAGGGCTTAGGGTTTAGAGTTGTAGGGTTTAGGGCTTAAGGGTTTTAGGGTTTTACGGTTTTTGTTTTTTAAGGTTTAGGGTTTAGGGTTCAGGTTTAGGGTTTAATGACTTTGGCTGCTACATTATTGTTGTAGGTTTGCAGCGGGGGTCCGTATTCCTATGAGGCAATGATGAGTTTGGGGCTGCATGCGAGTGGGACTGATTGGTGTTTAGGATGGGAGTTTCCGAACATAGGGGGCCCCAATATGGTACCCCAAATAGTCGGACCCTTATTATATATAAGGACCCCAAAATAAGGTACCCCGAATTTTCGGAAACCCGAAATAGGTTTCGGCGCTTATAGGGTTCTGATAGGTTCGCGGTTGAGGGTTTGGGGGGGTCAGGTTCAAGGCGTAGTTACGGCTCAGAGGCTTCTTGGGGTTTGCGGCTTGGGGTTTTTTAGACAAGCATAAGGCTTCCCGGCTGGGAATGATTCGTCGTCGAGGGTTCCCAGAGGGTTTTGTAGGGTTGAGGGTTCAGAGTTCGTGCAAAGTTACATATTTACAGGGTTGTTGTATAATGTTTTGTTTGTTGGTTTTGCACAGATTTGCTGGGGTAGCAAACTCGTGCGGCCGTCCTCGCCTCCCCTTACGCACAGTTCCCATGGCGTACGATTGCAGCGGCTTGGAAATGGCTCGGGTCATGGGCCGAATCCTGGATGAAGGGGGTGGGCTTGTGCGCACCGTGGTTTGCGACAACGCTGGAAATCATAACATCATCCGAGCGCTTTTGCTCGGAACGCCGCACGGCCTGCCACAGCGGGAAGTTGAAAAGATCCCATTCTTCCGGGACATCCGGTACAAGAAGCTCCCTAGAAGCTTCCTGCCTCATTTTCCGTTCGCCAAGCCATGCGTGGGCTCGGAGGTGATCTTCTTCCTCAATGCGCCTTTCCATCTGGAGAAAAAATTCACATCTGCAATTCGCTCTGGGGCTTTACATAAGCAGATCTATAAGGGGCTTGGGGTTTAGGGTCTAGGGTAGCTGGGAATGATCAGTGGGCGGTTTACCCTAGATAGAGCCACCGATTTTCTCCTGTAGCAAACAACACCCTGAAACCCTAGAGCTCTATAACCCCAGAACCCTACAGCCCCAAACCTTCAGTCGTAACCCCACGAACCACGAAGCCCTAAACCCCAAGGCTTGAAGAGCCGTTTCTCTCTTGAAGAATCCTTATAGATCATTCTAAGGAATCCGCAAAGGAATCCCCCCTAAGGTCGCCTTTATAGGTACTTAAAGGATCATGGGACTTAGTAACTAGGGTTATAATTAAGGTAACTGTATTTATACCGACTTCAAACTTGTGTGGCCCAATTATGGTACTTGTAACCTTACTTGTAATGAAGGTAACTGTACTTGTATCTACTTATAACTTATAGCCCCAATTATGGTACTTATAACTTATAGCCTTACTGGCTAAGTCCCATAATCCTCCAAGTAGGACCTAAACCTTTATAGATCACATCATAGGAACCCATATAGATCCCTTTAAAGGAACCCTAAACCCTAAGGATCACTTCAGGTACTAAGTCCCATGATCCTCCAAGTAGGACCTTGAGACTCAAAGGCAGCTCCATGGTCCCGCGAAGAGCTTGCATGTGGCGAAGATGAACCACGACAACAAGGTGAGGATTTAGGGGCTTAGGGTTGTGGGGTTTAGGGTTCTAGGATTTGGGGTTTAGGGGCTTAGGGTTGTAGGGTTTAGGGTATTGGGTCTCCGTAGCCATTTGGGCTCAAGCTTTTGCGGTTCAAGCTCCAATTCCTGACCGCCCCATCATAAACATGCTCTTCACCTTCGAAGACGGGCCATTGGAGTCCACGCAGCGGGGGCTAGGTGCTGAGCGTTCACGCTGCGTTTGGGTGCCTCCACTTCGGGACCCATTTGTGCATCTTGGTGTCCGTCGCGGAAGCCAGCATTTTGGCAGCAGCTGCCTTGATCCATGTCGCGCCCGTTATTTACTTGGACCCCGTGGATGGGATTGCAGCCGTGTCGGTGGTCGGGCCCTGGCACGGCAAACCACTGAGGAAGGTCTTTGTCAGCATGCGTTTTCACAGAGGTGTACCGCTGCCGCAGATGCACTTGCTGAGACGGGTGCTAAAACGGTTCCGCGTGAAGGCTGTCATTGCCACGCATGTCTCCGGAACATGGAAGCGGAAAACATGGAAGCTGATCCACGACTGTGACATATTCCTTGTCGCCGGCACCAACGATTTTGGTGTGAACACAGGCCACGAAGCCTGCACCTATTTCGAGTTACAGGAATTCGAGCGCCTTTGCAAGTTGGGCAAGAAGCCCCAGCAACTCGCCCTTATCGACATGCGTCGCAAGGGCGAGCGCTTTAAAACAGGAGCCGGGCTCAACTTGCTCCTGAACCGCCCTCCTTCTGCCGTATATGGGAGCAGAGTGCGGCACAAAGATGGGGATTTGAGCTCGTCAAGCTTCTCACACCGCTGTGGCCCCGCCGGCTCCTGCAGCATCCTATGCCCATCATGGAGTCCTACATTGTCGAATGGCTGCTCTGCGAAATCTCCAGAACCGATGAAGAGTTCTGGCGTGTCTAATAAAAGATAGCTTTCTGCGGCCTCGGTAGTACTGCTTTCGTGTGCGGGGCTGATCTATCTGCCCTCTGCAGGGCAGTGCATTTCCACACTTGCCAGTACATTGATCTGGCTCCTCGACTAGGACCTTCGGACGGCCTAGCACGCTGCTGCTGGCAACCTCGTATAAGGGATAACCGTGTTGCACACTTTCTTCTTCAAGTTTTTCCGCATTCCGACATCATGTGCTCCCTGCGTGATCCCACGCAGCTGTTGATGTGATGACGTAAGCGCCTCGGTGCCGATATGAAGCAGCCGCTCCTCCCCACGTGTGCTGGTCAGTGCCGGCGCCTCCATAATAGGGAAGTCATCTGCTTTGTTTCACTTTCATTTTAATTTCCGCTCGCGGCGGTTTGCTGCTGCCTCGGTCAAGCTGTTGATGCAAGAACCATGGAGTCACCGAGAGGGATGTGGGCTTTTCCCTGTTTACCGCGTGGGCCACGCGGGCCTTTCTCCTGTTTGCGCGTGGGCCACCCGGGTCGCTTCTCTCTCTCGCTCTCTCTCTCCCTCCCTCTGTTTGTCTGGCTGTTTGTCTGTCGCCCGTCTGTCTGTCTGCCCGTCTGCCTGCTTGCCTGCCTGCCTGGTTGTCTGTCTTTCTGTCCGTCTGTCCGTCTGTCTGTCTGTTCGTCTGTCTGTCTCTCTCGCTCTCTCTCTCTCTCTCTCCCTCTCTCTCTCGCTTCTCTCTCGCGTGGGCCACGCGGGCCGCTGGGGCTGGGGGGGGGCCTGTTTGCGCGTGGCACACGCGGGCCGCCTCCTGTTTGTCGCGGGCCACGCGGGCCGTTGCTCTCTCTCTCTCTCTCCCTCTCCCTCTCCCTCTCCCTGTCCCTCTCCCTCTCCCTCTCCCCCTCTCCCTCTCTCCCTCTCTCCCTCCCTCCCTCTCTCCCTCTCTCCCTCTCTCCCTCTCTCCCTCTCTCCCTCTCTCCCTCTCTCCCTCTCTCCCTCTCTCCCTCTCTCCCTCTCTCCCTCTCTCCCTCTCTCCCTCTGCCTCTCTCCCTCTCTCCCTCTCCCCCTCTCCCCCTCTCCCCCCTCTCCCCCTCTCCCCTCTCCCCTCCCCCTCTCCCCCTCTCCCCCTCCCCCCTCCTCACCTCCCCCTCCTTCTCCCCTCGCCCCCTCTCTCCCCCTCTCCCCTCTCTCTCCCCCTCCCCCTCTCCCCCTCTCCCCCTCTCCCCCTCTCCCCCGTGTGCCGATACACCCACAAGGAATGCTCCTTGTTAGGAGGTGTATGACCAGTTATTCCCTAAGGATCAAAGGGCAGCGCCCTGCACACGGACAGTAGTTGTTTTGTCTTGCTACGCAAGGAGAGCTTGTCTTGTCTCAATATGGTAAAACCACTGTGAGCCAATGGGCAGCGGAATGTATATGTATGAGCATGCAGCCATTGCTGTAGGTACCTGTTAGAGCTACCCCTTTAGAGGTTTATGGTTTCAAACAGACACTAATTTTCTTTTACCGGAAGCATGGCCGCACATTCACACATATACTATTATGCCCACTGTCACAGTTGCGGAGTCTGGACTCATGATGAAAACAGCATATTATTTAAGCTAGGTATAGCACTGAAGTACACTGCTGAGGACACTCCTTTTGCACACACTCATGCATGTTGGTCAGAGAGATCGTCTGTACAAGATCATGTCTGGTGATATTTTCTACATCGAATTATGCAGCCCTTCACTTTGCTCTTGTTAGAGCTTTGTGAGTCACTGTTGTGAAACTCCGAGATTTTCCTTATCTCAGATTTGGATCCAGGTTTGGATCATAGGCTCGAGCGTAGACGTTCGGATGTGGCTCATCCGGGTCTGAGTGATCTTCTTCGGAACTTGAATAAATTCCGAGTAGTCTGTTCTCAGCCCTGGTGAAGGCGGCGTCTGCAGTATCATATCCATGGTTGGATGTTGTCGCCTTTGGCTCGGCCTTTGGCGCAGCTTGTGAGCTGACTGGAGTTGCCTTGGCTTTAGCCGGTTGTGGCTGCTTAGCCTTTGCCCGTTCAGCCCTTCTTCTTTCAAGCTGTCCGTCTGAGGACGCCCATGATCTTTCACTTTCATCTCCTGAAGGAGATAAGGCGTGGGCATAAAGGCTATTCCAGTACTGTGCTGCAGAAGGAGTTAGGACTTCTTCATTGTCAGATTCTGACTGTTCTTCCTCAGAGCTTTGGTCGTCAAAGAGTGTCTCGAGGACATTTTTGAGATTGTTATTTCTTCGCTCTATCTCTAGTGAGGAATGGACCAATTGGTTAAAGACTGTCCTTGAGTCCTTCAGTGCTGTTAGAAGGATTTCCACTCTGGATAGAGTCTCTTGGATGGTGTCAAGATGTTCCTTCCTTTCCTCCTTGTCTCTCTGGATAGAGCTTCGCAATGATTGTGCGATTCTGAGGAGGTCTGTGTATTTCGTAAGAGGCATAGTTACCGTTTGATTGTCATGTATGACAGTTGTTTCGTCGCCGCTTAAGTTTCTGAATAGGACTTCCACGACTGGTAGAAACTCCGTGCTCCACGGTTCCTCTTCATCATATGTTTCTACGTGCTGTAGCACGCGTTGTGTAAACTGATCGGCTGCTTCTACCGTTGCATCGATAGAGCTGACGTGTCTTGCTGCCATGTTTCGGCACGTAATATTAATTGCCTGGCCTTGATTGGCTTCGTTAAGTGCAGCGTCTGCATAGGTGCAGAGTCCACTGTTGTGGGCTTCTCTGGCTGCCTTTCGTTGAATGCGCCGATTTTGACCTCCTCTTCTGGTAGGACCTTTTGGTCTCGGAGGATCTGAAGGTACTGTTCCTTTCTCCTTTGGCGGAGGAGTCTTAGGTGGAGGTGACATGTTTGCCTTGTTAGGCACTGGTGGCATTGCCTTGGGCACTGACGACGATGAGGCACTTGCGAGTGCAGATGTACCTCTGGCTCTTGCCGAGGATCCCTTAGGGATTGATGTATAGGTGATCTGCATGGCTTCTTCGGCCATTTGTGAATGCAATGCATCACTGAATAATTGCCTCATATGAGGAGTAGTACTCGCATCGTCATAGGTTTGAAACCGTTCAATGTCCCTTTCGGTGCCACGTGATCGTGTATCACCTCTTTGAAAAGGATCGTTCCTGCGAATCTCCGCAACTTGTACTGCATGGAGGCAGTTTTTGCACAGCACCTTCCTGCAAACATCTCTTGCTTGCTTGAGCTGGTAACAGCTGTCTGAGAGATGGTAGACTTCGCTTCGGGAAGTATGCCAGATAGGTCGCAGATCAGTTGTTTCTCCGGAATTGACCCTGTTGGGTCCTAAAGGTTCACGCGTCTGCGGTTCATCCTCGGGTTAGAGGAATGGAACTCTTTGGTTCGCTGCTGCTTTTGATTTTGGTTGTTGGCGCTCCATACATCTGATAGGAGGCCTGGTAATCTGCTTCCACATCCAGTGTAAGCCCATTAGCAGCAGAAACACATTCCACGCGATGCTGAAGACGGAGAAGTCCTGCTCACTGGGTAGTGAGTTTGGAAGTGAAGTTTCATCAGTCTTGATAGACTCTGCGTTCGCTCCACCTCGGTTGCGGTGTCCGAACCAGCCCGACAACCCCGCTGCTGTAGCAGCTGTTCTGAGTGCCTTGCCGCTCGGAGCAGACGGTGGACGCGATGCCTTCATTCTTCTCCTCCGGCTGGAGGATTCGTCCTCTTGTTCCTCTTCATCTCTCTGAGCAGACATCAAGTTTGATGTTTCTCTTTCGTGTTCTTCGATGTCACTTTTTGTTGGTGACGGTTCCTCTTCTAGTCCATCCAGCTCTTCCAAAGACATGTTGAGCTTTTCAACAATATTGGTTCTTTGAGGCCTGGACCTTGATCTTGGTAGATCTTGTTGTGAAGAGGACGATGATTCCTGGTTCCTTCTTGGAGGAGGACCTTCAGGATCGCTGGGACGTTCAGGCTGTGGCCATTCCCAGAATCTTCCGTATCTGTGATGGCTACCTGATGGTTGCGATCTGTCGTACCAGCTGTTGCCGGATGAGTAAACGAATGAATCTTTGTAACCCCAGTATTCAGCATTACGCTGCTTGAAAGCTTTTCGCTTGTCAGCGATCTTCTGAACCTGGGCATCTGACCGGTTGTGTTTCCCTTTTGTAAGGATTGGTTGTATCGTGAAGCCCAAAGGGCTGTGCCAATCTTTGTCAGAGGGACTCAACCATAGGTCAAGGTTAGAAAAGGTTGAATAGTACTGCTTGACTGAGACAAACAGACGGATATCAATATCCCTGTTATTGTTCATGTCCTGCCACATATCTGAGATTCGCTCCCAGTATGTTCTTTCGGCGGCAGGTGTAACATCTCTTGGACTAGGTGACGCCGTGTGCGGCGGTTTACTCCAGTCAAGGATATAACTGTTGATACAGTCAAGGTCAGCAACTTTCTTCGCCGGGTCCGCCGGTAGACGATCTGCACGTGCCAGTCTGTGCTGGTCGGAGTTGTTCAAGCAAAGATGTCGCACTTGTGAGTGCCTTCCTGCTATTCTGTTGAATGCTGCAAGTTTCTTCTCCAGGTATAGAGAAAACAAACCGTTTCGCGGGTGAACGTCTCCACCTTTAAAGGTGAGCCTCGACGCAATATTATTGAGATCCCCCGCAATTACATCCGGTTTGAAAGGGAGAACCTCGTTGAGGAACGCGTTCACCAGTTCGCGCCTCTGTTCTTCCTTATGAGTCATGTATGAGTTGAAATGGACGATCGCGATGGTGATGACCCTGTAAGGCCCTTTTGTACACCACATCTCGTCAAGATCGTTTGATGCTTCTTGTGAGAAGATCTCTGCGTATGACTCAAAGTCTTCCTCTGGTGGCTCATCACCCTCGACATGGCCGTTCCATTCACAGAGAATCGGCGAGGGGTCGAGGTTCGACAGTGTCAGGCACGCCTTTGGTGAGAGGTAAGAGCCATCAGTGGGTCCATCCTTGTCAGGATTTTTGCCCTTGAGTGGGTCATATCCGATAATCT